TTACACACTCAAAATAAAGGTGAGTGATAGAGATGAGAGCCAAGAAGATACGCAGGAGTCTTTGGTTGTCGTTTTTGTGTATGTCTATTATTTCTTACCTCAGTACTTTGTAGTTTCCTAGTGGTATCTTGTTCCAATTCTCACAGACTTGATTGCCTTAGTGAGGCCTTTTGAAGAGAGCCAAATAGAGGGGGAAGTTATGACTGGGAAAAACACTAGGTTCAGGGCTGGGAAGGTGGCTCAGTGGTAGAGCACTTGCCTTGCATGCCTGAGGCCCTGGGCTTGAGTCCTCAGCACCACATAAGCAAAAAGAAAAAAAAGCCAGAAGTGGCACTGTGGCTCAAGTGGTAGAGCACTAGCCTTGAGCTGAAGAGCTGAGGGACAGCGCTCAGGCCCAGAGTTCAGGCCCCATGACCAGACCCCCCCAAAAAAAAACAACAAAAAAAAACACTAGGTTCGTAGCCCACGGTGTTCTGCAGGGAAGTGGCTGCCTGCAGACCGTGCTCAGCAGACTGAGTACATGTGCCAAACAGATCCTGCCGGCCCCTCTGCTGCCCAGCGCCTGGCCTTCCTCCTGCAGTTGCGCTTACAGCGCCTGGAGAAATGGTCTTCATGAGCAAGAGCTGCTGTACTATAGAAAATCCTCTAACTCACTGTTAAACAACCACATTCCAGAAAGTCCACACTTTATTTTATTTTTATTTTTAAAATTTTTATTATTTGTTTGTTTGTTGTCGGTCATGGGGCCTGAAGCCACAGCGCCACTTCTGGCTTTTTCTGCTTATGTGGTGCTGAGGAATCGAACCCAGGGCCTCAGGCATGCAAGGCAAACAAATACTCTACCACTGAGCCACCTTCCCAGCCCCTTTATTTTATTTATTTTTTGTCAGTCGTGGGGCTTGAACTCTGGGCCTGGGTGATGTCCCTTCAGCTCTTAAGCTCAAGGCTTGTGCTCTACCACTTGAGCCACAGCACCACTTTGACTTTTTCTGTGCATACGGTGCTGAGGAATTGAACTCAGAGCCTCGTGCATACAAGGCAAGCACTCTACCACTAAGCCACCTTCCCAGCCCAAGTCCACACTTTAGTGATTTGGTCCATTACTTCTTCACTGTCATTCTCTGAATCCCCATCATGAAGAACTCAGCGGTTTGGAGAACCGCTAAGTTAGCAGGTTAGGTAATTTGTGTGTTCTTGCTTGTTTGGCCTCCTAGAGCACCCTCCACACCTGGGAGTCCCAGAGCCACCATGTGCTTGCCCTCCTTGCCTTGTCTGTTGTCCTTGACCACTTCTAAAGGGCAGGACACGATTACCAGCCTCGCAGGGACGGGGCTTGGGAGGCTTAGGACACCGGCTTCAGGCTGTCACCTGCAAACATGGCCCTCAGCCCACCACACCCTTCAGACAGGGATTTGAAGCATTCCCTTTACTGTCTTGAAAAAAGACGAAACTCAATATATATTCTACCTACATACCAGCAGTACTTGCTTATAACGTAAAGGAGAAAGAAAGGGCTGTGATGTGTGATGAACTCACTTTATTATGTAAGTGTTGGAGTTCAGCTCTCCGAGAGGCTGAGAGAGTGACAGGTGAAGCGTATCTGGTGCCAGTGTTACGTGGGTGGTGGGATTTTTTTTCCCTCCAGAACGATGAGTAACTCTTGGCAGACTCCTGAGCACACTAGATACAGCCTCTTGTGACTATGTGGCAGGGCATTCCTGGGAAACAGTGTTGTGATCGGACATCTGTGCATGGTTGGGTCCTGGCCGGTCACGGTGTAAAGCATCTGAGCGGCCTAAAACCTGACAGCCTTCCCACAGTTGCAAGATTCAGGAAAGTTCTTGTGGTACAGGAAATTGTATCCATGGTGGCCCAGCTGGTGTCACTGGCCCACACCTTCTGACAGGTTTTTTTTTTTGTTTTTTTTTTTGTCGGTGGTGGGGCCTAAACTCGGCCTGGGCGCTGTCCCTCAGCTCTTCAGCTCAAGGTGAGCGCTCTACCACTGGAGCCACAGCGCCACTTCTGGTTTTCTGTTGGTTTATTGGAGATAGGAGTCTCACGGTCTCTCCTGCCCAGGCTGGCTTTGAGCCATGATCCCCAGATCTCAGCCTCCTGATTAGATAGGATTACAGTCGTGAGCCACCAGAGCCCGGCTTCCTGACAGGTTCTAAACAGCTGTGGGTGAATGGTACCTGGCTAGATGTGTGGGAGACGCTGCTCCTGCAGTGCTGTACACTTTAAAAATACTTTTAAATACTTGGGTTAAGTGAATTGCCATTCCTTAAAGAGACCCCTGTTAACATAAAGATACTTGAAAACACACATTAATCTATAGGGTCAGAGATAGATGACGAAGGAAGCAGATTTTTTTTTTTTTTTTTTGCCATGGCTGAGTGAGGCGACAGGGAGCTCTCTGAATTTGGCAGTAGAAAGACAGACTGTACTCAGAGCAGGTACTCAGAAGGCTGCATGAGCCAAGCGAAGGACACAGGAGGCGTATTCTCTAGGAGAATGGAGACATGGATGCCAGACACCACTGGGCATGGGGGAAAGTGGAAGCAAGGAGCTCACAATGGCCAAGCGAGGTCCCTCCTAAATGAGGGTGTCCTGGTGTCAGCAGATAGGAGTCCAAGGCAGGAGCTGTGTCTCTTCTGCATAACCATCAGCCCCAAAGAAGAGGCCTTCAGACACACTGCTGCACGCAGACACACTGCTGCATAGCAGCTCCCACCTGTCAGGATAGCGCCGCAGCCTCCCGAGGCTGCTTCAGGTCCCCAGCGGGTAGGTAAGACCGCAGTGGGCAGACAAGACCCTCAGGACAGCTCTAGGCATCCAACTAATGGCATTACTGCAGATGCCCAGTCCAAGAACAAGGACACCCAGGCCCACAAAGCCTCTAGAAGTTAGAAATGAGTAAAAATACTTTAAAATACAGTAGATGGACTAAAGAAGTGAAGTTGAGGACATTGATTATAAAATAGAACCAAAAGACAAGACATATGGGGGAAGATTAGAAACCCGATGCTTGCCTCAGAGGTCACTCTAGCCAGTCTGTCAGGATGAGGGACAGGAGGCAGGCTTGGGGAGCAGGGAGCAGGGGAACACAAGGGTGCCATGTTCAGATAGAAGGGCATCTGAGCAAGGCTCTAAGGAGACAGGTCCATCGACCGCAGGCTCAGAGCGCTGGGTAGCCATGCCCTGTGAGCCGTTGGAGGAGGAGGAGGAGATCCTTTCTGAAGGAGGATCAGAGATCAGACTGCACTGCTCCTGGGGCTGGGCAGGGCTTAGGGATGAGTGTGTGTGTGTGTGTGTGTGTGTGTGTGTGTGTGTGTGAATTGTATGTGCTAGTTCTGGGTCTTGAACCCAGGGCCTAGACACTGACCCTGAGTAGCTATGTTTACAGCAGGCATGAGCCATGGTTTTTTGTTTGTTTGTTTTCTGCTGGACCTGGGCTCTATCCTTGAGCCTCTCTGTGCTCAAAGCTAGCCCTCTACCACTTGAGGCATAGCTCCAGCTTTTTCTGTGTATGTGGTACTGAGGAATCAAACCCAGGGCTTCATGCATGCTAGGCAAGCACTCTTCCACTGAGCCACCTTCCCAGCCCATCTCATGGATTTTTGAACAAGAAATTGTTGCTTGTATGGTAGACAAAAATCAGTAACCCTAGTTAATGGCTTTGTTTGTCCTGAGTTGAGCAAGTGTTCTGATCTCCCTGCCTGAGAGTCCCTGACTCCGATCTCACAGTGACTGTGCTTGTATTTCTTGTTAGGTGTATTATGTTTGGGTCTGCAAAGAGGCAGCACTCTGCTGGTGTCAGATGAGCAAGAAGGCCATTAGGAAATTTCCTTTCTTTTTTGGTCAGTCGTGGGACCTGAACTCTGGGCCTGGGTGCTTCCCCTCAGCTCTTCAGCTCAAGGCTAGCACTCTACTACATGAGCCATAGCACCATTTCTGGCATTTTCTGCTTATGTGGTGCTGAGGAATCTGGAACTGAGGGTTCCAGACTCAGCCGGTGGGGGGCTCGGTAGGTCCTTGGCACTTGTCACAGCAGGGTGCGTGCGTGTGTGTGTGTGTGTGTGTGTGTGTGTGTGTGTGTGTGTGTGTGTGTGTGTGTGTGTGTGATGCCAGTAATGGGTTTGAACTTCAGGCCTCACACTCTGCTCTTCTTGGCTCCATCTTTTTTTATTTCAAGTTTTATTGTCATAAAAGTTACATAAATCAGGTAATGAGTACATTTTTTTTTTGTGCTGGTCCTGGGGTTTGAACTCGGCCTGGGCACTGTCCCTGAGCTTCTTTAGCTAAGGCCACTTGAGCCACAGCTCTACTTCTGGCTTCTTCTGTGTATGTGGTACTGAGGAATTGACCCAGGGCCTCATGCATGCTAGGCAAGCACTCTACCACTGAGCCACCTTCCCAGCCCATTTACCCTTTGTTTCCTCCATTTCTGTGTCCCCCCTTACTTTCTCAAAGATAGATAAACAGTACAAAAAACAAAAACAACAAAAACCTCATTCCCACTTCCTGGAGTTCATTTTGCAAAGTATTATCTGATTAGAGGCAGCTAGGCCTTGTGCCTTTGTGACCGTCCCCTACGAGTCCCCTCCTTTGCTCTCACTGTGTGTGAATGCTTACAGTCTGGTATTGCTCTGCTATTTTTTTTAACTCCCCTTGATAGTGTTTCCAGTGTATTCTAGTTGTTGATGTCTGGGAGCTGTAGTGAGAGTTAAACTTTGAAGTAGGTCAGAGTAGGGGTGAGCTATCTTCCTCCAGGTGTGCGGGGCTCAGAACCCTGAGGAAGGCTGGCATATCTTCACCTGCGCTCCTGCACTGCCCTGCGGCTACCATGGGGAGTGGGCTGGGCTGGGCTAGTCTGGCCTATGGCAGTGCAGCCCAGAGCTGCATGAGCTGAGCGTTCCTCTGGGATCACCATGCCAGTGCCGGGAGCAGAGCCCCTGGGCGTCTGGCTGCTAACGGATGCCAAACCCTCCCCTTGCTCACAGGGATCGACTACAAGACGACCACCATATTGCTGGATGGCCGGCGAGTCAAGCTGGAGCTCTGGTGAGTCCGTGGTGAGATGGAGCCGGGGAGCCACGCCAGGAGACAGGACGGCTTTCTCCTTACTCTGTGTTTGTAGTAGCCATTTGAGCAGACCCTGCTCAAGTAGGAAGTGAGTTTTGCTCCATGACGAAAAGAGCAAAACGTATAGGATGTAAACATCTTTTGATACGGCCTGCTCCTTTTTGCCCCCAGTGCTTGCATGCCCCCCTCCCCTTCTCAGCCTGTTCCTGGGCTTCACATTAAGTAGCGTGGGGGAGGTGGCCTGAGTCTGAAATCTGAGTATTCAGGGTACTGAAGAAGGAGGGGTGAAAATTTGAGTCCAGCCTGGGCTATACAGGGACACCCTGCCTCAGAAAAATGAGGAGAACAAAAAGGAAAAAGAGCTTCAGTCGGGCACCGGTGGCTCACTCCTGTCACCCTAGCTACTCAGGAGGCTGAGATCTGAGGATTGCAGTTCAAAGCCAGCCCAGGCAGGAAAATCCGTGAAACTCTTTACCCAGAAGTGGCGCTGTAGCTCAAGTGGTAAAGCACTCACCTTGAGCTGGAGAGCTGAGGGACAGTGCTCAGGCCCAGAGTTCAAGCCCCACGACCGACAAAAAAAAAGAAAAGAAAAGAGCTTCAAGTGAGGACATGGGTTCTCCACAGTGTCCCTGGCTCCTGGGCCCATGTTTGGGGCTTGCTGCCTGTCTTTGTGCTGGCCGGGTGCTGGCTGGGTGTGGTCCTCGTGGTCAGCACAGCTGTGGCATAACCATCAGTTCCTGCGGTGGCCTGCCTCCCTTGGCCGCTCCAGAGTGTTCAGAGTAGCTACAAAGAAGAGAACAGGACAGAACTGAGCCTCTCACTCGCACTCTGGAAGGGTCCCACAGCCACAGTCCCGCCTGACCCTCTCCTCTCCCTGTGTTTCAGGGACACGTCGGGCCAAGGGAGGTTCTGCACCATCTTCAGGTCCTACTCCAGGGGCGCCCAGGTAAGTCGAGCAGCACTCTGTTGTTTTTCTTTTTTTCTTTTTTTTGGTCCGGTCATGGGGCCTGAACTCTGGGCCTGGGCGCTGTCCCTCAGCTCTTCAGCTCAAGGCTAGCGCCACTTCCGGCTTTTTTCTTATGTAGTGCTGAGGAATCGAACCCAGGGCCTCAGACATGCAAGGCAAGCGCTCTACCACTGAGCCACCTTCCCAGCCCCACTCTGTTGTTTTTCAAAGGGATGCTTCTCTTGACTCTTACTGAACATGTGCTCCTGTCCGATCTAATTCTCCAAGTACTTAACTCCTTTCTCTGTAGCTTGACGTGAGAGCCCCTCCTGGGTGAGAAGACCCATCCTCCGGTGGCCAGCTCTGGGTCTGGGAGCCCGGCCTCCCAGGCGACCCGTGCGCGGGGACACTGGACTCCACAGTGCACTGCTTCCGCTCCACAGCCCCTGGACAGGCCGTTGCTCTCATGGCTGCTGTGGCCACTAACAATGCCACAAGTGCTGTGCTCGGCCCCAGGTTTGGCTGTGAGCTGTCAGAAATGCAGCTCATCTCTCCGCTTCACTAGGAAGCAAAGGTGGCTTTCCTGCGTCTGCCCAGAACCCTCATGGGTGGACTTAGGAGCCTGCTGGGGCTGTGACTTTCTTTAGAGGAGGACAGGACTGTATCATATGTCAGCAGAACGGGGTTTTTAGGCCCCAGGCCCAAAGATTGCACATTTGATCTGTCTGCTCACATCCATGTGCCAACTAAAGAGGCGTGTCGTGAAGGCCAGAGAAAGGAGGTTTCGTACATGACAACCATGGTAATACAGCTTCAGTACATCTTCAGCCATCTTCAGAGTTGCAGACGTTGGCCTCAGGTTGAATAGGATGAACTGGGTGCTGGAGATTAAAAAAAAAAAAAAGCACATTAAAACAGTCCTTGTCAAAAGTATGGCTTGGCTGCTCATTATTCTAGCTTTGTCCCTGGAGGTATTCTGGAGGGGTTGTGTTACTTTACCATTGGAACAGATCAGGAACAAGTTACTTGATGGGTGGTCTCCTGGGCCTTTGACTGTCTCCTCCTCTTCCTCTTCATTCTCCTTCTACCAGTGCTTCATACCACTCTGTGTCTGACACCAGAGGTGAGGATGAGTTAAGAGAAAGCCAGAGGATAAAACCTGGGTGGCCCACAGACACAGGGCTTGTGAGGAGCGCTAGGGCAAAGGGTGAAGCTGGGCGCTGGTGGCTCATACCTGATTAGAACTGAGGGTCAAGGTTCAAAGCCAGCCCAAGTAGGAAAGTCTGTAAGACTTTTCTTGACCGGCGGGCGGGGTGGGGGGTTGGTTGGTTGGTTATAGGGCTTGAACTCAGGCCCTGAGCTCCTTTGCTCAAGGCTAACGCTCTACCACTTTTTGAGCCACAGCTTCACTTCCAGTTTTCTAGAATAATAATCTGGTTACTAATGGGAGCGTAGAGTAACAAGGCCTTGTACAGACACCCATTCCACTGCCATGTGTCTCTGCACCCCCTGGTGGTGTGAACTGTCTATACAGGTCACATTTTTGTCGCTCTCCTACTGTTTCCACCCTCCCCCCTCCCCCAGTCCTGGGGCTTGAACTCAGGGCCTGGACACTTTCCCTAAGCTGCTTTTGCTCAAGGCTAGCATGCTACCATGAGCCACAGCATCACTTCCAGTCTTTTTTGTTTATATGAACCCAGGGCTTCATGCATGCTAGGCAAGCTCTCTACCACTGAGCTACATTCCCAGCCCTCTCCTACCTTTTTTAAGAACAAACAGGGCTGAGCCCTGTTCTGCTCATACCTGTAATCCTAGCTACTCAGAAAGTTGAGATCGGAGGATCACAGTTCAGAGCCAGCCCAATAAAAACTCTTTATCTCCAAATAACCCATGAAAGCCAGAGCCAGAAGTGGAGGGAGGCGTGGCTCAAGTGATAGAGCCCAGCCTTGAGCAAAAAAGCCAAGCTAGAGTGTGAGGCCTTGATTTTAAGCCTCAGTACCAATAGTAAATAAATAATCCTAGCTAACTTGGAAGGCTGAGATCTGAGGATCATGGTTCAAAGCCAGCCTGGGCACAAATGTCTGTGAGACTCGAACCTCCAATTAACCACCAAAAAGCTTAAGCAGAGTTGTGGCTCAAGTGGTAGAGCACTAGCCTTGTACACAAAAACTCAGAGACAGTACCTAGGCCCAGAATTCAAGCCCCAGGACCAACATCCAAGAAAAAAAAAAATGACGTAAATGATGGTGGTTCCTGAAGAAACAGCTATTAGCATAAGCTATCACCATAAGCAAGAAAGAAAAACACCCAGGCCTTTCCTAAGGTCTGCTGTTTGTATAAAATAAACTTCCTGTGCAATGTGTCGTATGTGTTTTTAATTTAAAATGTCACCATGCACGTAATGTGTGGGACCTGTGTTTCTCATCTCACAGCTCACTTTGACTCTTTCTATGGTCATTGGCTGCACTCGTAAAGTACACTTTGCTTCTGACATTGTTCTCTGTGGTACTGTAGATGGAACCAAGGGTCTCATTTATGCTGGGAACGTGGTGTGCCTCTAAGCTACATCCGAAGCTCCTTCTTAACCTTGGTCATCCACACAGGATGTTTTACCTGATTCCTGCTGAGGATGGAACCTCTCGCACGCTAGGCAAATGTTCTGACACTGAGTGTGCTTTGATCTTACAAACATGCTGGGGTGGACAGAGGATGGATTGGTGCGCCCTCAAGTGTTCCTCAGAAGCAGATTGCTGGGGCTGGGAAGGTGGCTCAGTGGTAGAGCGCGTGCCTTGCATGCCTGAAGCCCTGGGTTCGATTCCTCAGCACCACATAAGCAAAGAGAAAAAAGCCGGAAGTGGCGCTGTGGCTCAAGTGGTAGAGCGCTAGCCTTGAGCTGAAGAGCTGAGGGACAGCGTCCAGGCCCAGAGTTCAGGCCCCACGACCGGACCGTCCCCAAAAAAGAAGCAGATTGCTGTGCAGAGGGTGTGCTCAATGCTTTAGGTGGCACTGCCCCTGCACTTCCTTCTCCTGTTTTTCCTTAATTCCCCTGGCAGGAGAGCTTCTGTGTCCAACAGTGGGGCTCATTCCTGGGCGCATATTCATTTGTTGTAAAGCTTGCCCAGCTCCTGGCACTCAGGTTCAAATTGGTCAGCTCTTCTTAGAGGACTGGCTTCAGGTAGGGTTCACTACTGGCCTCTCCCAAGTCGCTGTCCTGTTATGAGCCAGGACTGCTGGCCAAAGGGCAAGAACCATAGGTCTAGGGTCCAGGTAATTTCAACCTTTTGTTGTGTGTGAGTATTGGTGCTGTCTCTGAGCTTTTGGGCTCAAGGCTGGCACTCTGACACTTGAGCTACAGCTCAGCTTTCAGCTTTTTAGTGGCTAATTGGAGATAAGCGTCTCTCAGCTCTTCTGCCCAGACTGTCTTTAAACTGTGCTCCTCAGCTCTCAGCCTCCTGCGTTAGCTAGGATCACTGGTGTGAGCTGCTGGTGCCCTGTTCATTTTGACCTTTGTATTAGCAGGCCCTGGGGGCTGACCTTGGCTGGCTGTGTTTAGGAGACTGGCTTTAAGACTCCTCTTTTCCTGACTGACGTACAGAGCCCTCCCCCCCCCACTCTTAGCTGTGTGGGGATTTGTGGGACCTAGTGTTGCTCACTAGGTGGATTTTGACCCTCAGCCACTTTTGAAGAAGTAGGCTGAGAGACCACAAACACTGTTGATGTAACACTGTCTAGTGGCAGTGTTCTCAGTGGGTGGCTGGAGAGCTGTGGCAGTGTGGCTGCTAAGTATCTAGGGCACATGGAGACAGCCCAGAGTGGAGTAATTGGTCTCCAGGGGATATGACAGGAAGAACCCCACAGCAGGTCCTGCTCAGCCCAGCTCAGGGAGCCTCACAAAAACTGCTCCTGGAGTGACTTGACACCCTGCAGTACAAGTTTGGGGCCAGAAATCTCAGGGGTGCCCCCCGGGCCGAGTTCACTGACTGACTGTCAGGATACTTGGCTCCTGTCCTCTACCACCTTTCCCGTGCCCCTCACAGCCCTGTAGCCAGACCTGGGTAGGAGTTGCTTAGCTGTGTGGTATTTGACTAATTTCAGAATAATGACTGTGACAGCCTGGAGAATAAAGTTGAAAAGTTGGTTCTGCCCCTACTAAGTCCTCAGGAGAGGAGAGGTGCAGCATTTGTGGGCTGGAATGGTCCACTCACTCCACTTCCCACTGACCATTGGTAGCAGGTGCATTTCTTACTTGCCTGTAATCTCTCTTTTTTTTTGGGGGGGGGGGGTCCGGTCGTAGTGCCTGAACTCTGGGCCTGGGCACTGTCCCTCAGCTCTTCAGCTCAAGGCAACCACTCTACCACTTGAGCCACAGCGCCACTTCCGGCTTTTTTCTTTTTTTGCTTATGTGGTGCTGAGGAATTGAACCCAGGGTCTCATGCATGCAAGGCAAGCGCTTTACCACTGAGCCACCTTCCCAGCCCCTTGCCTGTAATTTCTTAACCCATGGGGTCTGCTGGGCCAGGTTCCCTGCCCTGTCCATGAACTGAGGTCTGTTGTGTCTAGCAAGTTCCCCCCAAGGACCCTGCTGTGGGTGACCTCTGTGCCTCTCTCTCCTCAGGGGATCCTCCTGGTGTATGACATCACTAACCGCTGGTCCTTTGATGGGATTGACCGGTGGATCAAGGAGATTGATGAGGTAGGTGTGGGTCTGGGCCCTCCACGGGAAGGCACGAGGCCCAGCCATGCTTGGCAACCTGGCATAGGCCTGCCTGCGCCCCTTCAGCAGTGTGCGAGGCTCAGACTGCCCTCCCCTCTGTCCCATCCCGGGATGCTCAGAGAGGACTCTACCTACTGTTGGGGGCGGGGGTGGGGGTGCTGGGTTATCCCTGATGAGTTCTGGACCCCATCCCAAGCACGCACCTGGGGTCCCCCGGATCCTGGTCGGGAACCGACTGCACCTGGCCTTCAAGCGTCAAGTTCCAACAGAGCAGGCCCGTGCCTATGCAGAGAAGAACTGCATGACCTTCTTTGAAGTCAGCCCCCTGTGCAACTTCAACGTCATCGAGTCCTTCACGGAACTCTCCCGCATTGTGCTCATGAGGCATGGCATGGAGAAGATCTGGAGGCCCAATCGAGGTGAGTCTGGGTTCACCTTGTGCAGAGGGGCAGAGCTCTGAGCTCTGTGGGACAAAGGTGGAGACCGGAGGGATGTTGGGAATAATGGAAGCAGAACGGCTCCTGAAAAGCAGCAGGCACCGTGGGCCGTGCCAAGCCCTAAGCCGTAAGGGGTGAGCTCTCTCCACGGTGCAGGGAGAGCCCACACTCCACATGCGTACGTTCCTCCTTGTTCCAAAGACAGGGTTTTAGGCTGGGTGGTCACAGAAGCCCCTACGTGACATCGTACCATATCCTGTGCAGGTTCTTAATCGAAAACGTGCTTTTGACCTTGAGGTTCTACCAGTGCACATGCACATGCGCATGTGTGCAATACACACATGCATACACAAAGAACTGGGTGGTGGTGGCTCACCTACCTACACAGGGGACTGAGATCTGAGGATTGAGGTTCAATGCTGTCCTGGGTAGGAAAGTCCATGAGACTCTTATCTCCAATTAACCACCAAAAAGCCACAAAGTGGAGTTATGGCTCAACTGGTGGTAGAGTGTCAGCGGAAAAAGTTCAGTGACAGCACCTAGGTCCTGAGTCCAAGCCACAGCACCGGCACGTGTGTGCACATGTGCACACACGAAGAACAAAGTGTTTTAAGTCCCTCCTCGGGATCCCTGGCCTGCCACGTCCACAAGGGCTCATGCTACACTCTGCAGACCACCCACAGCCAGCGACTGCTGGCTGGACTGAGGTAAATGACTGCAGACATGACTCCAAAAGCTCATGAGCCACCTTTTCCTCCAGTCTTCTGTGGGTAGTCTCCCAGCAGCACTTTGCAGTGTGCTCCCCTGTAGGAAGAAGGCAGGAGAAGGGAGCCACCCACTGGACCCTCCCAGGAGGTAGAATATTCTACCTCCCAGGAGGTAGAATAACTGGGCATCCAGGTCCCCTGGGAGTCCCATCCCGGGGCATCTCAGAGTTCTCTTCTGGTAGTCAGAGGGCTGTACACCCCTTAGCATCTCTACGCGGGCCTCTTGGCCCCCACGCCCCCTTCAGCTGTCTAACCTCCCGCACAGTTTTCAGCTTGCAAGACCTCTGCTGCCGTGCCATCGTCTCCTGCACCCCCGTCCACCTCATTGACAAGCTTCCGCTGCCAGTCACCATCAAGAGCCACCTCAAGTCCTTCTCGATGGCCAACGGCATGAACGCCGTCATGATGCACGGCCGCTCCTACTCCCTGGCCAGCGGGGCTGGGGGCAGCGCCAGCAAAGGCAACAGCCTCAAGAGGTCCAAGTCCACCCGCCCCCCTCAGAGCCCGCCTCAGAACTGCTCTCGCAGCAACTGCAAGATCTCCTAGCGGGACTGGTGGGCACCGCCCGTGCAGACTCTGGGAGCTCGTGCTGGGGCACTCCCGGTCGAGTGCTGGAAGGCTTGGCCACACAGCCCTGCCCAGGAAGCACCAGGCTTCCCACACCTGTGTCAGGTGAAAGGGGCGGTCCCATGGGAGATGACACCCCCCTCCTCCCCCACACACCCTGGGCAGAGGGGCCGCTGGTGCTACAGGGGCCCAGGTCTGAACTAGCCCGGATTCCAGGGCTACCTGGGCTCCAGCTGGGAGGAAGCCTGGCTCCCCCATTTATATGGAGAACATTTCAGCGTTTTGTACATTTTTACAGACCTGTCAGGGAAGCCTGGGCGCAGCCGTGAGGTGGGCTTGCGCTTGCACAGCCACGCCAGCTGCAGGGGCTCGGGGCTTGGAGCAGTGAAGGAGGGGGTCAGCACCAAAGCTGGATGTTCTTTGGACTGGCATGCACCTCTCCTGGGGTGCTCAGAGACCCTCTGGAAATAGAAGGGCCAGACACTGGTGGCCGAGACTCAGCTCAGCTTCCAGTCTGACCCAGGTGGCAAGTGTGCTGGGCCCAGGGAAGATGGATCCCCTGCAGCCCTCTCTGGATGATACCACCCCCATACACCAGAGCTCCAGCAACTCCCAGGAGAGTGAGGGCGAAGGTGTGCCCTGGAGCCTCACTTCCGCCCCTTCCTGGTGCCCCCTTCTCCCCGATGCTTCTGGTGGTGTTTACTATACACAGATTAGCCCAGCATCTCCAGACTGAGCGTGCAGAGCCATCTGCAGACCTTAAGTACTTGGTGGGGTGCAGCCTGCTGGTCTCTGGTGGGCTGTGGCCTTTCTGTCACCTGTCACTGGAGCCTGACACCACCCAGAGCAGCAGCCTCCGCCACCCTGTGGGCCGCAGGGTTCCATCCCGAGTCCCTCCTCAGGGACCACCAGCCCAGCCCTGAGCTGGAGCTCACAGGGCCCGCCCGTGCCCGTCTTGAAGCCATGTACCGATCCTCCACAGGTCCCCATCTGCCTGGGGCAGCCCCCCCTCAGTGGGAATGTCACCCCTGACTTCACCCTGGCCTGGTAATGCAGCCCTTGGTCACACTGGTGCTCAACTCTACCTCCTGCCCTTGGGCCCCCCGCCACAGCAGGAGCCACAACCCAATTAGGGACTTCTCAGTGCAGATTTCCAGCAGTGGGCCTGCCATGAGTGCTAGCAGGGCACCAGTTGACACGCAGCACCCTGGTCTGTGGTGCTGGGAGACGAGTCAAGCCACCACTGGAGGAAAGGCCGTGGGGACTGCCTGGCGAGCCCAGATCGCCTCCAAGCCCCCACCATTGAGACTGCCCCGCAGATGGCCTCACTCCTAGCCCACCTGTCCTGTTGCTGCCAATAGAGCCCTTTTCTCTGGAATCATGAACAGAATCACTGAGACTTTGTTCTGAGGACCTGGACAGGCATGCCTGCGCATCAACACTACTTCCGCCGCTGTGGACTCGATCCTGGACTCTGTACAGTAAATGTACTTCAGCTGTGACCTCTCTGGTTTGTATAAATCAGCCTCAGACTCACCTGTCTGTGATGTGTTGTGTGGTGGTGGGGGGGGGGGGGGGTACCTTGTGGTACACTCCGCCACAGGAGCCGCACCGCTTCGTTCCTGCTAGACTGCTCCCCAGGTCCTGCGGACTCAGTCCTGTGGCTGGCTTTGCCGGCCGGCAGCTGGAGTCTCATCGCTACCGAGGACCAAAGGGGCTGAGGTGGAGACTAGTCAGGAGCCACACGGCCTTTCTTAGGGTGTGGGCCTGGTTAGGCCAGGCCGGCCGCCCACCTCCCCGTTCTGAGCAACTGTCACAGACCCCTGTGAGCGAGCCCTGGGGTTGGCACCTAGAGCAGGAAAGCACTTGGAGGGGCGCGGGGGCTCTGTACGGCTCGGCTAAGGTGTGTATGGTGCTCAGAAGTCAGGTCCCTGAGTGAGGACCTGCACCTTGCACCCCGGGAACACAAGGCGGGGCCTCCTGGCTCTCCGGCTGCTGCAGTGCACACTGCCCAAGCACCCCCACCCTTCCACTCACCCACAGCCCCTTAAAAGCGGGAGATACTGGTGCCTGGAGGCCATAGCTCGGTTCCACTCTGGCCAGACCAGGCTCTTATTACCTCAAGAGGTCAGCGGAAGGGTCATTCAGACATTTTCCATCCTGTTTCAGAGAAAAACACTCCCCTGGGACCGCAGAAGGCACAGAATGGTTTGGAAGGGCAGATTCCAGCCGGCCCTTTGTCCTGCCACTAGCTTTGATCATTTGAGCTCTGCTGAAAGCTGTACTCCCTCTCTGCCCTCCCCCCAGGGGAGTGGTCTCTGGTCCAGCTGGAGATGGGCCGAGGAAGACAGGGAAAGACTCCTGTTCCCAAGAATTCTAGGGCGCGTGCTCCTTTGCGAATGTACCCGGGCATCTGGCTTGGCCATCTCCTGGGACCTTCACGCTTGCCACGTCTGAGTGCTGGGCATCATGGCAGGGCAGCATGAGGAGCCATCTGTGTGTGTGGTCAGTCTCCTCTGTCTCTGTCCTGGGACTTAAACTCAGTCTGGGCGCTATCCCAAGCTTTTGTGCTCAAGGCTAGTGCACTACCACTTAAGCCACAACTAGCTTGCAGGATTTGGGTGGTTTTTTTTTTGGGGGGGGGGGCGGTAGGGTGATTAATTGGCAATAAGAGATTTGCCTGCTCAGGTTGGCTTCAAACTACAATACTCACATCTCCTGAATAGCTAGGATTACAGGCATGAGCCACCAGCACCCGACCCCTTGCTGAACCGTCTTTTTCTACCCTAGAATGGCCCTAAGCTTCTTAATTTGGGGGGGAAAGCTCAGACCAGTGGTCACTTGGGACTGCTTTGGGGGCCTGTCCACCACACTGGGTAAGATCCTAGCAGAGATCAGCCACTGCGGCCTCCTCTCTTTGTGGAAAAGACTTTGATCTTTGCCTGGCTCCGGCTTGTGGAGGGAGGGGCTCGAGTTACAGCATTTCCACCCCCCCTTCCCTGGCCAGAGCTGGCCCTTCCCCGCCCCTTGGTGACCCTTGTGGCCAGTAGCTCTGAGCTTCAGGGCCTCTGGCCCCTCCCCAGCCCTCCTTTCTCTCCCCTTGGTGCTGCCCAAGGCTGGGAAGCCACCCCACCCCCAGTGGTTGGGAGAGGGGCCAGGCTGAGGAGAGTGAGGCAGCTCCGTGGATAGATAGGCTCTGAGAGCTCTTGGCCCTAGATCCTGCCATTTGAGGGTGCAAGGAGGGAGCATCTGCTGTAAACCCCAGACTTGGGGGTGGGGGGCTAAAGCAGGAACTGAGCCATCCGAGGAAAGGGAGGACCATCCAAGGCTGGGGCAGCCGTCCAAGACCTGAGGGTGGATGCCTGCAGGGAGTCCCAGGTCTGTGGGGTCTGAGGGGCCAGCAGCCATATCTCCCGACCCCCTGCCCCGGGGTCCCCATGCCCTCCCCGCAGCTGCTCCTGCCTCTGCTGCTCATCACCGGCATCACCGGGCCCGCCTCGGTGGCCGGGCCGCTGCCAGAGCCTGGGAGCCACCCTGGTGTGTGCCCCAACCAGCTCAGCCCCCACCTGTGGGTAGACGCCCAGAGCACCTGTGAGCGCCAGTGCACCGGGGACCAGGTGAGCACGGGCCTCACGCCCAGCCCTTCCCTGGCGGGGGCGGGGCCTTCCCAGGGGCCACTCCCTCCAGGTCTCCCCCTACCTCTACATGCTCTGTAGGAAGGGCACAAGGACACAACCTCCACCTAGCTGAAGGACAGGAGCTCCTTCATTCTCACCAAACCTCCCCCTCCCCTGCCTGACACCCCGCACTCTCACCAAACCTCCCCCTCCCCTGCCTGACACCCCACACTCTGACCAAACCTCCCCCTCCCCTGCCTGACACTGCCTGACACCGCTCACTCTGACCGAACCTCCCCCTCCCCTGCCTGACACCCCACACTCTCACCAAACCACCCCCTTCCCTGCCTGACACCCCACACTCTCACCAAACCACCCCCTCCCCTGCCTGACACCCCACACTCTGACCAAACCTCCCCCTCCCCTGCCTGACACCCCGCACTCTGACCAAACCTCCCCCTCCCCTGCCTGACACCCCGCACTCTGACCAAACCTCCCCCTCCCCTGCCTGACACCGCTCACTCTCAGAGGATGAGTGACCACCAGCCCTTGACCTGCCCCTGTACATGGTGCCCGGGCCGCCCCTGAGCCACGCCCCTGCTCCCAGGGGGACAGCACACTCCTGGAGGAAGGTGTGTGGACACTGTAATGGTGATGTGGCCAAGGCCTGCATCCAGATGTCCTGCCTGTGTGCCTTGGACACGATGCATCCTGCGGGGTGACCAGGGATGCTAGGATGTGAGGATTTGACCAGGTGAATAGGAGTGGTCTTGAAGCTCATACCCAGCAGGAAGCCGTGCTTCCAGGCCAGGCAAGAGGCAGCAGCAGGTTGCAGCCACGAGACAGGGTCTTAACCTCTGTCTCATCTGTGCACCTGGAGAAGGGGCATGGCCAGGCCTGTGGGGGGGGGAGGGGGACACGTGTGTGTGTGTGTGTGTGTGTGTGTGTGTGCTGGGAGGTGGAGGGGCATGGTGTGTGTGTGTGCTGGGAGGTGGAGGGGCACGGTGGGGTGTGTGTGTGTGTGCTGGGAGGTGGAGGGGCATGGTGTGTGTGTGTGTGCTGGGAGGTGGAGGGGCATGGTGTGTGTGTGTGTGCTGGGAGGTGGAGGGGCATGGTGTGTGTGTGTGCTGGGAGGTGGAGGGGCATGGTGTGTGTGTGTGTGTGTGTGTGCTGGGAGGTGGAGGGGCATGGTGGGGTGTGTGTGTGTGCTGGGAGGTGGAGGGGCATGGTGTGTGTGTGTGTGTGTGTGCTGGGAGGTGGAGGGGCATGGTGGGGTGTGTGTGTGTGCTGGGAGGTGGAGGGGCATGGTGGGGTGTGTGTGTGTGCTGGGAGGTGGAGGGGCATGGTGGGGTGTGTGTGTGTGTGCTGGGAGGTGGAGGGGCATGGTGTGTGTACGTGCTGGGAGGTGGAGGGGCATGGTGGGGTGTGTGTGTGTGTGTGTGCTGGGAGGTGGAGGGGCATGGTGGGGTGTGTGTGTGTGTGCTGGGAGGTGGAGGGGCATGGTGTGTGTATGTGCTGGGAGGTGGAGGGGCATGGTGGGGTGTGTGTGTGTGTGTGTGCTGGGAGGGGGAGGGGCATGGTGTGTGTGTGTGTGTGTGTGTGCTGGGAGGGGGAGGGGCATGGTGTGTGTGTGTGTGTGTGTGTGCTGGGAGGTGGAGGGGCATGGTGGGGTGTGTGTGTGTGCTGGGAGGTGGAGGGGCATGGTGGGGTGTGTGTGTGTGTGCTGGGAGGGGGAGGGGCATGGTGGGGTGTGTGTGTGTGCTGGGAGGTGGAGGGGCATGGTGGGGTGTGTGTGTGTGCTGGGAGGTGGAGGGGCATGGTGTGTGTGTGTGTGTGTGCTGGGAGGTGGAGGGGCATGGTGGGGTGTGTGTGTGTGTGCTGGGAGGTGGAGGGGCATGGTGTGTGTGTGTGTGTGTGCTGGGAGGTGGAGGGGCATGGTATGTGTGTGTGCTGGGAGGTGGAGGGGCATGGTGGGGTGTGTGTGTGTGTGCTGGGAGGTGGAGGGGCATGGTGTGTGTGTGTGTGCTGGGAGGTGGAGGGGCATGGTGGGGTGTGTGTGTGTGCTGGGAGGGGGAGGGGCATGGTGTGTGTGTGTGTGTGTGTGTGCTGGGAGGGGGAGGGGCATGGTGTGTGTGTGTGTGCTGGGAGGTGGAGGGGCATGGTGGGGTGTGTGTGTGTGTGCTGGGAGGGGGAGGGGCATGGTGTGTGTGTGTGTGTGCTGGGAGGGGGAGGGGCATGGTGGGGTGTGTGTGTGTGTGCTGGGAGGTGGAGGGGCATGGTGTGTGTGTGTGTGTGTGTGTGCTGGGAGGTGGAGGGGCATGGTGTGTGTGTGTGTGTGTGCTGGGAGGTGGAGGGGCATGGTGGGGTGCGTGTGTGTGTGCTGGGAGGGGGAGGGGCATGGTGGGGTGTGTGTGTGTGTGCTGGGAGGTGGAGGGGCATGGTGGTGTGTGTGTGTGTGTGCTGGGAGGGGGAGGGGCATGGTGGGGTGTGTGTGTGTGTGCTGGGAGGTGGAGGGGCATGGCGGAAGGGGTGTGTGTGTGTGTGTGTGTGTGCTGGGAGGGGGAGGGGCATGGTGGTGTGTGTGTGTGTGCTGGGAGGTGGAGGGGCATGGTGTGTGTGTGTGCTGGGAGGTGGAGGGGCATGGTGTGTGTGTGTGTGTGTGCTGGGAGGTGGAGGGGCATGGTGGGGTGTGTGTGTGCTGGGAGGGGGAGGGGCATGGCGGAAGGGGTGTGTGTGTGTGTGTGCTGGGAGGTGGAGGGGCATGGTGGGGTGTGTGTGTGTGTGTGTGCTGGGAGGGGGAGGGGCATGGCGGAAGGGGTGTGTGTGTGTGTGCTGGGAGGTGGAGGGGCATGGTGGGGTGTGTGTGTGTGTGTGCTGGGAGGTGGAGGGGCATGGTGGTGTGTGTGTGTGTGCTGGGAGGTGGAGGGGCATGGTGGTGTGTGTGTGTGTGCTGGGAGGGGGAGGGGCATGGTGGTATGTGTGTGTGCTGGGAGGGGGAGGGGCATGGCGGAAGGGGTGTGTGTGTGTGTGTGCTGGGAGGTGGAGGGGCATGGTGTGTGTGTGTGTGTGTGTGTGTGCTGGGAGGAGGAGGGGCATGGTGGGGTGTGTGTGTGTGTGCTGGGAGGTGGAGGGGCATGGCGGAAGGGGTGTGTGTGTGTGTGTGTGCTGGGAGGGGGAGGGGCATGGTGGGGTGTGGGTGTGTGTGCTGGGAGGTGGAGGGGCATGGCAGAAGGGGTGTGTGTGTGTGTGCTGGGAGGGGGAGGGGCATGGTGTGTGTGTGTGTGTGTGCGTGTGCGCTGGGAGGGGGAGGGGCATGGCGGAAGGGGTGTGTGTGTGTGTGTGTGTGTGTGTGTGTGCTGGGAGGTGGAGGGGCATGGTGGGGTGTGTGTGTGCTGGGAGGGGGAGGGGCATGGTGTGTGTGTGTGTGTGTGTGTGTGCTGGGAGGTGGAGGGGCATGGTGGGGTGTGTGTGTGCTGGGAGGGGGAGGGGCATGGTGTGTGTGTGTGTGTGTGCTGGGAGGGGGAGGGGCATGGCGGAAGGGGTGTGGGTGTGTGTGTGTGCACGTGCACGCTGGGCAGTGGTGAAGGGGCAGGGCCAGGCCCCAGGCCATGCTGGGAGTCAGGATGTCTGCTGAGCTGTCCGCGTCCCCCCAGGACTGCGTGGCTTCTGAGAAGTGCTGTACCAATGTGTGTGGGCTGCAGAGCTGCGTGGCTGCCCGCTTCCCTGACGGTGGCCTCATGGCATCTGCGGCGGCGGCGGGTGGCAGCCTCCTGCGAGGGCTTCCAGTGCCCACAGCAGGGTGCTGACTGTGACATCTGGGGTGGGCAGCCCGTGTGCCGCTGCCGAGACCGCTGCGAGAAGGACCCCAGCTTCACCTGCGCCTCGGACGGCCTCACCTACTACAACCGCTGCTACATGGATGCCGAGGCCTGCCTCCACGGCCTCCGCCTGCACGTGGTGCCCTGCAAGCACGTCCTCAGCTGGCCGCCCAGCAGCCCAGGCCCACCCGGGACCACCGCCCGCCCAACTCCTGAGGCCACCCTGATGCCACCTGCCCTGTACAGCAGTCCTTTACCACAGGTGGTGCACGTGGGAGGCACGGCCAGCCTCCTCTGTGATGTCAGCGGCCAGCCTCCGCCCACGGTGACCTGGGAGAAGCAGAGCCACCAGCGGGAGAACCTCATCATGCACCCTGACCAGATGTACGGCAACGTCGTGGTCACCAGCATAGGGCAGCTGGTTCTCTACAACGCCCAGCCGGAGGATGCCGGCCTGTATACCTGCACCGCACGCAACGCGGCCGGGCTGCTGCGTGCCAACTTTCCCCTCTCTGTGGTGCAGCGTGCGCTGGCCAGGGACCGGGCTCCGGGAGTTCCAGCCCCGGCCCAGTGCCTGCCCGACACGCAGACCTGCGCCAGCCTCTCCGTGCCCCACCGCGTCCTCTGGCACTTTGACCCTCTGAGGGGCAGCTGCATGACCTTCCCGGTCCTCGAATGCGACGGAGCCATGCAGGGCTTTGAGACGTATGAGGCCTGCCAGCAGGCCTGTGCCCGCAGCCCTGGAGACACCTGCCTGCTGCCCGCCGTGCAGGGGCCATGCCAGGGCTGGGAACCACGCTGGGCCTACAGTCCACTGCTGCAGCAGTGTCACCCCTTCATGTATAGTGGGTGTGAGGGCAACAGCAACAACTTTGAGAGCCGGGAGAGCTGTGAGGAAGCCTGCCCGGTGCCACGCAGGCCGCCTTGCAGGGCCTGTCGCCTCCAGAGCAAGCTGGCTCTGAGCCTGTGCCGCAGTGACTTTGCCATCGTGGGGCGGCTCACGGAGGTGCTGGAGGAGCCTGAGGCCACAGGGGGTGTCGCCCGCGTGGCCCTCGACGATGTGCTCAAGGATGACAAGATGGGTCTCAAGTTCCTGGGCACCAGGTACCTGGAGGTGACCCTGAATGGTATGGACTGGTCCTGCCCCTGTCCCAATGTGACCGTGGGTGATGGGCCGCTGGTTATTATGGGTGAGGTGCGTGATGGTGTGGCTGTCCTGGATGCTGGCAGCTATGTCCGTGCTGCCAGTGAGAAGCGTATCAAGAAGATCATGGAGCTGCTGGAGAAGAGGACCTGTGATCTGCTCAATCGCTTCCAAGACTAGCCTCGCTTGCCAGCCTTACTCTTTTCCTTCTTCCTACTGAATAAAAACCTACCCCTCACTGGTGGAACTCATGGTCTGCTGGTGCTCTTCCATATGCCTCCACGCCCAGCCAGCTAGGGTCTGGTTGTCAGTTGGAGCTTTGGCTCCTGTCTGAGGTCACTAGATCCACAGCAGTCTCTCCAGGGACACAGATAGGGACCAAATCCATTCTGCCTCAGTAACTATCCCTGGGTTGTTCCTGCCCCAGGAACAAAGCCGGGACACTTGCAAGCCCTGACTGCACAGGCCACACCCTCCCGTCCATCCACTCCCATAAGGGGTGCCTGGAGACAGTGTGTGGTAGATGTCTACCGTTGGCCAACAGGAAATGCTTTATTCAAGGCCTACTGGGCCCAGGATCTTGGCAGCCCTAGGGCCACTGGCCAAGAGCCCAGGTTACATGAGGCTGGTTATTCCCAAGGCCTGGCCCAGGGGAGCAAAGCCTGGGGTCTGGTCTATGCCCCACGGAGCCTTTAGCAGAGCTGCGGGATGAAGGAGAGGGTTACTCTTTCCGGAAAATCAGGCACTTGTTGTTGGCTGGCATGTCCACCTGAAGGAATGCTTTGCTGGAGTGGCCCTTGGTCCAGGGAGGATGCCGCCCCACCCCCAGTCCACCCTGCCTACCATCTTCTCCAGAGGCAGGCCATTAGCCTGGCCTAGTTCTTCCAAGACAGCTGTGTCCCGCAGCCCCCACTCGGGGTTCCTGCAGGGGGGTGGGAAGGGGGTGCTTAGAAGCAAGGGGGTTGGGTGGGCACTCCCCCTTCCCTCTGAGCAGGCCCCTCCCGCCCCCCTCACCTGCTTCTGAGGGCCTGGTCAAAGTCCACATTGCTCTGGGGAAAGATCTGGCCGTTGACTGCAAAGGGCTGTGGGGCGGTGAGCGCGGCCGTGGGTCCCACGTCCCGGGACCATTCCCCAGTGGGTCGTGGGGCCAATTTTCAGGCTGGGTTTCTAGGAAGGGAAAGGTCACCCCCTCCCTGCCCCCAAGAAGGGGGAAGGCAAGGGCCGGCCCAGGGCCTGCGGGGCAGAGAGACCAGCTAGTGCGGAGCCTGCCTGGGGCCCGAGGGGGCCCCGAGTTGCGGGGTAACTCACCCCATAGGCGATGAGCAGGGCACTGGGTTTGAGCAGGTGTCCAGCGGCTCTGAAAAGGCCCTGGGAGGGAGGGGGCGGGGTCACGCGCAGGGAGGGAGGGGGGCGGGGTCCCGCGCAGGGAGGGAGGAGCGGGGGTCCCGCGCAGGGAGAGAGGGCGGGGGCGGGGTCCCGCGCAGGGAGAGAGGGGCGGGGTCCCGCGCAGGGAGGGCGGGGGGCGGGGTCACGCGCAGGGAGGGCGGGGCGGGGTCCCGCGCAGGGAGAGAGGGCGGGGGTCCCGCGCAGGGAGGGAGGGGGCGGGGTCCCGCGCAGGGAGGGAGGGGCGGGGTCCCGCGCAGGGAGGGAGGGGGCGGGGTCCCGCGCAGGGAGGGAGGAGCGGGGGTCCCGCGCAGGGAGGGCGGGGGCGGGGTCCCGCGCAGGGAGGGAGGAGCGGGGTCCCGCGCAGGGAGGGAGGGGGGCGGGGTCCCGCGCAGGGAGGGAGGGGCGGGGTCCCGCGCAGGGAGGGAGGGGCGGGGGCGGGGTCCCGCGCAGGGAGAGAGGGCGGGGGCGGGGTCACGCGCAGGGAGGGAGGGGCGGGGTCGCGCGCAGGGAGGGAGGGGCGGGGGTCCCGCGCAGGGAGGGCGGGGGCGGGGTCCCGCGCAGGGAGGGAGGGGCGGGGTCCCGCGCAGGGAGGGAGGGGCGGGGTCGCGCGCAGGGAGGGAGGGGCGGGGTCCCGCGCAGGGAGAGAGGGCGGGGGCGGGGTCCCGCGCAGGGAGGGAGGGGCGGGGTCACGCGCAGGGAGGGCGGGGCGGGGGTCCCGCGCAGGGAGAGAGGGCGGGGTCCCGCGCAGGGAGGGAGGGGGCGGGGTCCCGCGCAGGGAGGGAGGGGCGGGGTCCCGCGCAGGGAGGGAGGGGGCGGGGGTCCCGCGCAGGGAGGGAGGAGCGGGGTCCCGCGCAGGGAGGGCGGGGGCGGGGGTCCCGCGCAGGGAGGGAGGAGCGGGGTCCCGCGCAGGGAGGGAGGGGGCGGGGTCCCGCGCAGGGAGGGAGGGGCGGGGTCCCGCGCAGGGAGGGAGGGGCGGGGGCGGGGTCCCGCGCAGGGAGAGAGGGCGGGGGCGGGGTCACGCGCAGGGAGGGAGGGGCGGGGTCGCGCGCAGGGAGGGAGGGGCGGGGTCCCGCGCAGGGAGGGCGGGGGCGGGGTCCCGCGCAGGGAGGGAGGGGCGGGGTCCCGCGCAGGGAGGGAGGGGCGGGGTCGCGCGCAGGGAGGGAGGGGCGGGGTCCCGCGCAGGGAGAGAGGGCGGGGGCGGGGTCCCGCGCAGGGAGGGAGGGGCGGGGTCCCGCGCAGGGAGGGAGGGGCGGGGTCCCGCGCAGGGAGGGAGGGGGCGGGGTCCCGCGCAGGGAGAGAGAGCGGGGACGGGGTCCCGCGCAGGGAGGGAGGGGCGGGGTCCCGCGCAGGGAGGGAGGGGGGCGGGGGTCCCGCGCAGGGAGGGCGGGGGCGGGGTCCCGCGCAGGGAGGGAGGGGGCGGGGTCCCGCGCAGGGAGGGAGGGGCGGGGTCCCGCGCAGGGAGGGAGGGGCGGGGTCCCGCGCAGGGAGGGAGGAGCGGGGTCCCGCGCAGGGAGGGAGGGGCGGGGTCCCGCGCAGGGAGGGAGGGGGCGGGGGTCCCGCGCAGGGAGGGCGGGGGCGGGGTCCCGCGCAGGGAGGGAGGGGGCGGGGTCCCGCGCAGGGAGGGAGGGGCGGGGTCCCGCGCAGGGAGGGAGGAGCGGGGTCCCGCGCAGGGAGGGCGGGGGCGGGGGTCCCGCGCAGGGAGGGAGGGGCGGGGTCCCGCGCAGGGAGGGAGGGGGCGGGGTCCCGCGCAGGGAGAGAGAGCGGGGACGGGGTCCCGCGCAGGGAGGGAGGGGCGGGGTCCCGCGCAGGGAGGGAGGGGGGCGGGGTCCCGCGCAGGGAGGGCGGGGGCGGGGTCCCGCGCAGGGAGGGAGGGGGCGGGGTCCCGCGCAGGGAGGGAGGGGCGGGGTCCCGCGCAGGGAGGGAGGGGGCGGGGTCCCGCGCAGGGAGGGAGGGGCGGGGTCCCGCGCAGGGAGGGAGGGGCGGGGTCCCGCGCAGGGAGGGAGGAGCGGGGTCCCGCGCAGGGAGGGAGGGGCGGGGTCCCGCGCAGGGAGGGAGGGGGCGGGGTCCCGCGCAGGGAGAGAGAGCGGGGTCCCGCGCAGGGAGGGAGGGGGGCGGGGTCCCGCGCAGGGAGGGAGGGGGGCGGGGTCCCGCGCAGGGAGGGAGGGGGCGGGGTCCCGCGCAGGGAGGGAGGAGCGGGGTCCCGCGCAGGGAGGGAGGGGCGGGGTCCCGCGCAGGGAGGGCGGGGACGGGGTCCCGCGCAGGGAGGGAGGGGGGCGGGGTCCCGCGCAGGGAGGGAGGGCGGGGGTCCCGCGCAGGGAGGGAGGGGCGGGGTCCCGCGCAGGGAGGGAGGGGGGCGGGGTCCCGCGCAGGGAGGGAGGGGGCGGGGGTCCCGCGCAGGGAGGGAGGAGCGGGGGTCCCGCGCAGGGAGGGAGGGGCGGGGTCCCGCGCAGGGAGGGAGGGGGCGGGGTCCCGCGCAGGGAGGGAGGAGCGGGGTCCCGCGCAGGGAGGGAGGGGCGGGGTCCCGCGCAGGGAGGGAGGGGGCGGGGTCCCGCGCAGGGAGAGAGAGCGGGGACGGGGTCCCGCGCAGGGAGGGCGGGGACGGGGTCCCGCGCAGGGAGGGAGGGGGGCGGGGTCCCGCGCAGGGAGGGAGGGCGGGGTCCCGCGCAGGGAGGGAGGGGGCGGGGTCCCGCGCAGGGAGGGAGGGGGCGGGGTCCCGCGCAGGGAGGGAGGGTGCGGGGTCACGCGCAGGGAGGGAGGGGGCGGGGTCCCGCGCAGGGAGGGAGGGGGCGGGGTCCCGCGCAGGGAGGGAGGGGGCGGGGTCACGCGCAGGGAGGGAGGGCGGGGGCGGGGTCCCGCGCAGGGAGGGAGGAGCGGGGTCCCGCGCAGGAAGGGAGGGGGCGGGGTCCCGCGCAGGGAGGGAGGGGGCGGGGTCCCGCGCAGCCCCCCCCCCCCCCCGCCGGCGCCCACCCACCTTGGTGCAGCGCAGGGGGCTGATGTGGGCCATGTTGATGCACAGCAGCAGGTCCAGCGACTGCGGCCGCACGCCCCACTGCTCCCACTCCCAGGTCACGTCCAGGTGCAGCGGGGCCTTCACGTTGGACAGGCCCTGGGCGCGAGTGGTGGCCGCAATGCTGTGGAGGCAGCGCGGGCCGGGCTGAGAGGCGCGGAGGGCGCGGGGCGGAGGGCGGGGGGCGCGGGGCGGGGGTCGGGGGACGGGGGGCGGCGGGCGGGGGGCGTAGGGCGCGGGGCGGAGGACGTGGGGCGCGGGGCGGAGGGCGCGGGGCGGGCGGCGGGCGGCGGGGGGCGGGGGGCGGCGGGCGGGGGGCGGAGGACGTGGGGCGCGGGGCGGAGGGCGCGGGGCGGGCGGCGGGCGGCGGGGGGCGGGCGGCGGGCGGCGGGGGGCGGAGGGCGCGGGGCGGGCGGGGGGCGGGGGACGGCGGGCGGGGGGCGGAGGGCGCGGGGCGGAGGGCGGAGGGCGCGGGGCGGGCGGCGGGCGGGCGGCGGCGGGCGGGGGGCGGCGGGCGCGGGGCGCGCGGCGGCGGGCGGGGGGCGGGGGGCGGCGGGCGGGGGGCGGCGGGGGGCGGGGGGCGGCGGGCGGGGGGCGGCGGGCGGCGGGCAGAGGACGGGGACGCGGGGCGGGGGGCGGCGGGCGGGGGGCGGCGGGCAGAGGACAGGGACGCGGGGCGGGGGGCGGCGGGCGGGGGGCGGCGGGCGGGGGGCGGCGGGCAGAGGACGGGGACGCGGGGCGGGGGGCGGGGGGCGGCGGGCGGGGGGCGGGGGGCGGCGGGCGGGGGGCGGCGGGCAGAGGACGGGGGCGCGGGGCGCAGGGGGCGCGCGGGCCGCCCCCACCCTCCCGGCCCAGCCCGCCGGGGCCGCCGCGCGCGCACCTGTCCAGGCAGCGCGGGTCCACCTCGGACGGCTGCCACTCGGCGCGCGGGAAGGCCCGCGCGAAGTGCGCGGCGTGCTGCCCCGAGCCCGAGGCCACCTCCAGCACGCGGGCCGGCCGCCCGGGGTCCACGTACTGCCGCAGCACGCTCAGGATGGGCTCCTTGTTGCGCTCGGCCGCCGCCGACACCTGCATCGCGGCTGCTGGACAGCACGGCGGGGCGCGGGGCACCTCGGGAATTGTAGGCCTCCCCGGCGCAGGCACCTCGGGAATTGTAGGCCCATCGGCGGCGCGGGGCGCGTGAGGAACCCTGGGCCTCCTCGGCGCGGGGCACGTCGGGAATTGAAGGCCTCCCCGGCGCGGGGCACGTCGGGAATTGTAGGCCTCTCCGCCGCGTGGGGCGCCGTGGGCCGCCCCGGATGGGCCTCCCGTCCTTCCTGCAGGGGTTCCCAGCAGCTGGAGGCGGTGCCGCGCAGGGATGGCGGGGCCGAGCGTCCGCCCCCGCCGGCCGCAGCAGCCCGCCCGCCTCTCCTCACGCGCACTCTGCGAAGCTGGCTTGCGTCCTTCCGTTCTCAGGTTGCGGACAGTCGGTTTAAGTCTTTAGACTCAACACGGGGTGGGAAAACTAAAAGGCTGACTGCGCCGCCCGGGAATCGAACCCGGGTCGCAAGAATGGGAATCTTGCATGATACCACTACACCAGCGGCGCTGTTGGGACGCGAGCCGTTCCAGAAGCCTAAGAGGTGTGTGGTGACGCAAGCGGGCTCGCAGGCGGCCCCCGCGCATGCGCCGCCGGCCGGAGCCGGGCCTCTCGCTGCCCGAGGCCGGAGAGGAAGGCGCGGGGAGGGGAGCGCGGGTCCGGCCCGGCCGCAGGGAGGGCGGCGGCGCGAGCGCTGGAGAGCCGGCGGGCCGGGGGCCGGGGGGCGCGGCCGGCGGCGGGGCCCGCGGGGACGGCGCCCCGCGCGGGTCAGCGGCCGCAGCCGGCCACGCGCGGCCTTTCTCGGTGACTCCGGAGGGCCGCGCCGGCCCGGACGCCCCCACGGTAGGTAGCTGAGGGCCGCGGCCGGGCCGGCGCGCCCAGGGCGCCTCCGGGGGCCCGAGGGCCGACCTGGGCCGGCGGCGGCCGGCGTCCCGACGGCCCCGGCCCGGTGCGCCGGTGCGGCCAGGCCGGGCGCTGCCGCCTTCCCGGGCGTCCCGGCTGCCCCCCGCCCGCCCGGCCTGCGATGGCCGGGGCCCAAGTCCCATCTTCCCAGCGGTGTGGAAGAGGGCTCCAGACCCGGCCTCGGAGCCCGGCCCGGGACGCTGGCCGCCGCGGGGGCAGCCTGGGCCCGGCGCCGCCGTCGGTGCTGCGCTTGGAATCGTGTCAGGGCTCAGTTTGGCTCCCTTCCCCGGTGTTTTGTTTATTTATTTTTTGGTCAGTCATGGGGCTTGAACTCAGGGCCTGAGTGCTGTCCCTGAGCAGCAGGCTAGCACTCTCCCCTTTTTTTTTTTAAGTGTTTTTTTTTGGGTCAGGTCGTGGGGCCTGAACTCTGGGCCTGGGCGCTGTCCCTCCGCTCTTCAGCTCAAGGCCAGCGCTCTACCGCCTGAGCCACAGCACCACTTCTGGTTTTCTGGTGGGTTATTGGAGATCAGAGTCTCAGGGACTTTCCTGCCTGGGCTGGCTTTGAACCTCCATCCTCAAATCTCAGCCTCCTGAGTAGCTAGCATTACAGGCGTGAGCCACTGGCCGCATCGGGCTTGATATTGTATTTTTAAAGATAGGATAACTATGTAGCCCAAACAAAGGCACAATCTGTCTTTCTTCAAGTGCTGGGATTCCAGGTGTGTGCCCAGCCTCGTGTGAGTGTGTGATGCTGACTAAACTCAGAGCGTCTTCCATGCTGCCAGTCCCTCACACTCAGCGCAGGCACCCCTACACACACTTCATTTAGATCACACTGGGTGGAAGGTGTGTGTGTGCAGAGGGCACCTTCCCACAGGAATTTATCCACTGGGCCAGATCACCAGGGCCCAACACACCCCTTCTCTCCCTTTCTCCTCAACTCCTTCCCCAGCCCTCAGACGCCAGCCTTTGGGGAATATGCCCTCCAGCCACAGGCTCCCATCATGGCATCCTGCCTCCCAGGCAGATGAAGAGCATGCTCAAGGACGCTGGGAAAGGCCAGGCCACACGGGACACAGATGACTCAGGACCACGCTGGCCTTGGAGGGCCTGCTGCTTCCTCCGGTGCTAGTGGGGGAGGGCCAGGGAACAGCTCTTCCCCAGAGATGTGCTCAGGCCTTGACTCCGTGGGTGCAGAATGGGCCGTGGACAGGGCAGGCCCTCTCCACATTGCTCACCAGCCCGTCTCTCCTCGCAGGGTCACAGGCCTGGGTCTTTGGGCAGCTGGGGAGGGAAGGCCATTGTCCTGCAGCTCTGCCCAGGGTCGCCAGGGCAGACGCTTCCCTTGGGGTCTCGGGAGTAGCCTGGGAGAGAGAGCAGGTGGGTGAGCAGGCTCCTCTGCCCGCAGGGGCCATGCCTGCCCTGCCCTGGACTTCGTGCTTTTCTTTCTAGATCTGGCAGGAAGATGTGCCCAGCCCAGCCCAGCCCCCCTGCCCTCTCCTGGCCTGAGGACTGACCCGCAGCCCCGGCTCTTCCTCCTCAGGTGTGTCCGGTGCTGGGCCCCGGCTCTGAGCTCAGCGTTTGTGGGGGTGGGGGGCCAGGCCAGGCCCACCGGCCCAGGGCAGGGCTCCTGCCCGGACACCGGCCCCGGCCCGCTCCAGCGCAGGTCTGGGGCGCCATCCCGGCCGGCGCGGCCCCTTTAAGGCCAGGGGGCGTGTGCGCGGCCGCGCCCCTCCGCCGCGCTTAAAGGGGCCGCGCCCGCCGCGCCGCGGAGCTGGGCCGGAGCTGGGCCGGCGTCGGGCGCCGGTGGTGGCGGGGCGGGCGGCGGGCGCGACGCCGGACCATGTACACCATCACCAAGGGGCCCAGCAAGCTGGTGGCGCAGCGCCGCACGGGTGCGCGGGCCGGGGGTGGACGCGGGGCCGGGGTGGACGCGGGCCGGGGGTCGGGGCTGGACGCGGGCCGGGGGTGGACGCGGGGCCGGGGGTGGACGCGGGGTCGGGGCTGGACGCGGGCCGGGGGTGGACGCGGGGCCGGGGTGGACGCGGGGCCGGGGGTGGACGCGGGCCGGGGGCCGGGGTGGACGCGGGGTCGGGGGTGGACGCGGGGCCGGGGGTGGACGCGGGGCCGGGGTGGACGCGGGGCCGGGGGTGGACGCGGGCCGGGGGCCGGGGTGGACGCGGGGTCGGGGGTGGACGCGGGGCCGGGGGTGGACGCGGGCCGGGGGCCGGGGTGGACGCGGGGCCGGGGGTGGACGCGGGGCCGGGGGTGGACGCGGGGCCGGGGGTGGACGCGGGGCCGGGGGTGGACGCGGGCCGGGGGTGGACGCGGGGCCGGGGTGGACGCGGGGCCGGGGGTGGACGCGGGGCCGGGGGTGGACGCGGGGCCGGGGTGGACGCGGGGTCGGGGGTTGACGCGGGCCCGGGGTGGACGCGGGGCCCCGGCCCGACCCTGACCCGCCGCCCCGCCCGCAGGTCCCCCGCAGCAGCAGGTGGAGAGCAGGCTCGGCGAGCTCCTGAAATGCCGGCCGCCGGCGCCGCTGCCGCCGCCCGGGCCCTGGCCGCCGGCGAGGTGAGCGCCGCCCACGGTGACCTTGGGGAGGTCGGTGGGACCCGCGCCCGCCCCCCCCCCCCCCCCCCCCCCCCCGCCGCCCGACCTTGGGCCGCGCGCCCGGACCCGCCGGCCACGCCAGCCGTGCTCAAGGGTACAAGGTCTCTGCGGGAGAGCCGCACGTGCTCCCGGGCCTGCGAGCCCGCCCTCCCTCCCTCCCTCCCTCCCAGCAGTGCCCCGGGCCTGGCCTGCAGAGCCCGCCCTCCCTCCCAGCAGTGCCCCGGGCCTACTTTCTGGAACCTGCCCTGGGCCCAGTGCCCCCAGGGGGCTCAGCCCTGGCATGCTCCTCCAGGGCTAGAAGTTTTATTTCTGTGGTTCCTTTGCTGGACTCTGGTCCTGCCTCTGTCAGCAGAGCCCGGGGCCCTGGCCACCAGCCGCGCAGTGAGGTGCAGGTTTCCAAGTTGAGGGCAGGTGGTCTCCAGGGTGGCTGGGAGTTGGAGTGGCCACTCTCAGCAGCCATTCAGGAGGTCTCAAGAGGCCTGGTGTAAGGGGCCTGCAGGAAGACTGGTTCTGGCAGAGCAGGGGTCTTCCTCCAGGGCCGAGCTGGTGTGCTGGGGCTTGATCCTCTGGGAAGGGAGCAAAAGGGACCTTCTGCACACTCCAGCCTGTGCCCCCTTCCCTGGGAGGCACGTACCAGCAGGTGGTCAGCCCCAGGCAAGCAGCATGGGGCTAGTCCACAGCTGCTCACCATATCTTACGTGGCAAAATCTAATTCTTTTCAAAGGCCCCTTCCACGGGGACAGCCAGGGTCGCTTTGTGACAAACTCGGGGGTGGTTTTGAGGAGGAAAGATGGTCTCCTCAGTGGCTGGGGAGTGCAGGGGGGTCCCCAGGGTCTTCCCCCGCCTGCAGGAAGCCAATGTGGCCTGGGCACCCGGAGCTCTCCAGCAGGCAACCCGGGCAGTACAGACTGTGCCCCCACACCAAGGGCTTCTATCTCTGGATTGGGAGCTTCTTCGGGGACCCTAAAACTGCCTGCTGGTCCTTCCTCCATCTTCCTTTTCTTGGTAGCACCTGCCCCCCAGCCCTGGGAGGAGTGGGTGTGTACCCAGAGGTCTCTGTTTGTCCTCCTGCTGGGACTTGGCAGATTCCCAAAGCTCCTGACCTGGAATCAACAGGCTCCTCTTCTGGTCACTTGGGTCTGGGTGCTACCTGTGATTGTGAACAGACCCAACTGGGCCTGTGCTTCTGATACATCTCCAGTGGGATAGAGACAGGCAGATAACCGGGGGCCATGTGATCTCCTGTCCCCACCAGCACAGGGTCAGAGGAGGCCGCCTTGGAGAGGGCAGGGCTGTGGCCGGCAGGGCCAGGTCAGAGGAGCTGGTACTAGGGATATGGGCTTTGATATCAGAACTAGTGCTAAATCCTGATGGGACACAGGCAGGCCCATAGTCCAGGTTCCAGGCTGAAAAAAAAAAAAAATTTTTTTTTTTTTTGAGGGGGTAGTGTGGCCGAAGCTGGAGCTGGCTTGCAGCAGTATCCTGGGAGTTCAGAGTGCAGCTAGGCCACAGGGTACAGTGTGTGTAAAGGGTACAGGTACACACGGGCGGGTGCCCTTTCTCCCACAGAGCTTTGCCTTACATAACTACAGTCTTTGAGCTGGAGTGAGTGGGACTGGAACAGGGACAGGGCAGAGCCATGCCACACCTACTGGGCCCCATTTCAGCTCCAGGGTCACTTCCTGAACCCTTGCAATTCACAGTGCCTACCTGTGATCTCTTTCTTTTTTAAAAGTTGGCTGGGTATCCGTGGCTCACGCCTGTAATCCTAGCTACTCAGGAGGCTGAGAACTGAGGATTGCGTTTCAAAACCAGCCTGGGTAGGAAAGTACATGAGACTCCAATTAACCACTAGAAAACCAGAAGTGGGGCTGTGGATCAAGTGATAGAGTGCTAGCTTTGAACTGAAGAGCTCAGGGACAGAGCCCAGCCCAGAGTTCAAGCCTCTGGACCAACAAAAAAAAAGTTGATGTCCACCTGCAGGCTTTGCTGGAGGTAAAGCCTTCAGGGGTGAGGGGGTTGAAAGCAATGTGTTGGGGGGGGGGTTAGCTTCCATGTCCTCAGAGCAGGTTTGGGAGGAGCCCGTGGCCCCTGTGGTTTCTGCATCCACCAGACCCTGCCGGCCGCAGGGCTGGCAAGACCCTGTGCCCCTCAAGACCCTCCTCTTTATTTTAGTGCCCTTCTCACCTGAGGAGGAACCCAGACCGGCGAGGGGCCACTGAGCCCAGGAAGGCGAGCAGGCCGGCCGGGACGGCGAGTGCCTGGTGGAGTGGCAGGTGCAGCCTAGGACCCCGGCTCCCACCTCCTGCTGTAGGTGCGGCCCCATTCCCTCCATGGCCCCGGCCCAGGCCTGATGAGTGCAGGGCCAGTTACCACTGCCAGGGGGGGCCGAGCCTTGCTCTGGGCCTGCCGGTCTGGACGTGACCCAGCCACCCCTCTGGACATACATGCAGTACGGCAGCACCGGGGTCCTCTCGCCTGCCTTGTCCTGTCTGTCTTTTGCTGTGGGGAGAGGGCTGGGGCTGTGCTCTCCCCACTTGGGGACTGCCCTTCCCTTCCCGGCATTTCGTGTTCATCCCTGTAGGACCTGGGTGCAGCTGGGGAGCGGGAAGAGCAAAGGCCATTTGCCCTTGTTTGGTCAGTTTTCCCATACTGGGGTGTCATCGAGGTGGACATGCATCTGTGGAAAACTGGGAAGAGCTGTGCTTAGGGGTGGGGTTGGAGCAGAGATTTGATGGTGGTGAGATCAGAACCTGGGCTGCTGGAGGCTTAGCTAGTGGGGAGCAGGGCAGTGTGGAGGGTCCTGGATGCAGGCCTGCCTGGAGTCTGGGACAGATCTGGGAGTCCTTCCCTGGCCTCTCTTGAGCTGGGTACTGTGCGAGAGCTGAGCGTCTGAGCTCAGGGCTGCCCTGTGGCATGAGGGGACGCCAGACTTGGCCTGGTCTAGGGCAGCAGGCACGGCCCAAGGTTGCTCTTTAGCTGTGTAGCTCTTGATCTGGCAGGCACCACTCAGGTCTGTGTCCTCCTCCTCCCACAGTCCAGGGCCAAGGTTGGTGTTCAACCGTGTCAATGGCCGGCGGCCCCTTGCCACTCCTCCATCCTTGGAGGTACCCCAGGAGACTTACACGTTAGCACACGAGGAGAATGTCCGCTTTGTGTCAGAAGGTAATTAGGGGCTGGAGGGTGTGGCTCAGGCTGCTGGGAAGGGTCCTTGATTCTATCACTGTGGGCTGACTTTCAGCAGCCTCAGGGCTGGGTTTTCTTCCTTGGTTTTCTGCCCATTTATGTCTGCTTCCTGTGCTGGGCTGGATTCCAGGGTGGCCACCAGGTCCTGGGGTGGGACAAGGTGCCAGGGGCCTGGCTCAGCTGCCCATCCCCCACAGCATGGCAGCAGGTGGAGCAACAGCTGGATGGCGGCCTGGCCGGTGAGAGTGGGCCAAGGCCTGTGCAGTATGTGGAAAGGACCCCTGACCCCCGGCTGCAGAGTGAGCCCCCATGCCCTGCACCCCGCTCACCCTGACCCGAGCCTGCCCAGGCTCCACCCCAAGGGTTTGGGGAGGGGGCTCTTCATCCTGACCTCTTCCTGGGCTTGCTGAGCTTGAGTACCGGAGGGCAGACGCTGAGGCGCTGAGGAGGCAGCGCCAGCACCCAGTCCTCTGCTCTTCCTGCAGACTTTGTGCCCATTGACCTGGATGAATGGTGGGCGCAGCAGTTCCTGGCTAGAATCACCAACTGTTCCTAGCAGCTGCCCTGGGCGGAATGCTGCCATTGCAGACCTTTGCCAGAAGAGGCCTACGGTGTCTGCCAGCCTGCGCCTGTGGCCTGACGCCATGCCAGCCACACCTGAAGTGCCAGCGTTGGGACTTTCGCACCTGTTGTTCCCTTGGCTCAGCTGTCTCAGTTGCCAAGGCCAGGGGCTGAACCTGTTTGACCTCAATCCTCTCTGCGCCAGGGGCCGGCCCTGGCTAACAGGGCGTACGCCAGGCCAATAAAGTTGAGAAAGTGTCTTTGGAGTGGCCTTGATGGGGTGTGTGGGGGCCTCGTGCCCAGCGCTCGTCCTCGGCCCCGCTGCCGGGGGCGCCACTGGGCCGCACGCGCTCGCCCTCTCCACCGGCGCGGGGTTGCAGGGCTGGCCCCGAGGGGTCGGGCCCGGGCCTGGGCCCAGGTCCGCAGCACCGGGCCTGGCTGGGACGCCTCCGCCCCCCCCCCCTCCCCCCCCGCCCGGTGGCAGTGCGCAGGCGCAGGTGTCTCCCAGGCCTTGGGGAGCCGGGCGGGCGTGGCGGGCGGAGCCGACGCGCGTCTGGGGGCGGGGCCAGGGGCGGGGCCGCGGAGGAGGAGCCTCGGGCCCAGGCGGTCACGTGGGGCCGGCGGTCACGTGGGCCCCGGGCGCCGCCGTGGCGGCGGAAGTGACGCGCCGTTGCCAGGAGACCGCGGCTAAGCGCCGCTCTGCGTGCCGTGCGTGGGGCGCGCGTCCGCCGGGCGGGAAGCTCGAGCGGCGACGCCATGGCGCGAGGTGAGGACGCGAGCGTCCGCTCCGGGGCGGACGCCGAGGGGCCGGGGCCTCGCCTGCAAGCCGACCCCCGCCCGGGCGCCGGGCCGCCGCGGGCTCTGCGGTGCGGAGGCCCCGCCGCCTTCGGCTTCGCTGGGAGACCCGAGGCGGCCCGGCCAGACCCCTGAGCTGGGGGCCTAAGATGGGGCGCTGAGGTGAGGTGAGGTGAGGTGAGGTGCTGAGGTGAGGAGGTGAGGTGAGGTGAGGTGAGGTGAGGTGAGGTGAGGTGAGGTGCTGAGGTGAGGTGAGGTGAGGTGAGGTGAGGTGAGGTGCTGAGGTGAGGTGAGGTGAGGTGCTGAGGTGAGGTGAGGTGAGGTGCTGAGGTGAGGTGAGGTGCTGAGGTGAGGTGAGGTGAGGTGAGGTGAGGTGAGGTGAGGTGCTGAGGTGAGGTGAGGTGAGGTGAGGTGAGGTGAGGTGAGGTGCTGAGGTGAGGTGAGGTGAGGTGCTGAGGTGAGGTGAGGTGCTGAGGTGAGGTGAGGTGAGGTGAGGTGAGGTGGTGAGGTGAGATGCTGAGGTGAGGTGAGGTGAGGTGAGGTGAGATGCTGAGGTGAGGTGAGGTGAGGTGAGGTGCTGAGGTGAGGTGAGGTGAGGTGAGGTGAGGTGAGGTGCTGAGGTGAGGTGAGGTGAGGTGAGGTGAGGTGAGGTGCTGAGGTGAGGTGAGGTGAGGTGAGGTGAGGTGAGGTGCTGAGGTGAGGTGAGGTGAGGTGAGGTGAGGTGAGGTGAGGTGAGGTGCTGAGGTGAGGTGAGGTGAGGTGAGGTGAGGTGAGGTGAGGTGCTGAGGTGAGGTGAGGTGAGGTGAGGTGAGGTGAGGTGCTGAGGTGAGGTGAGGTGAGGTGAGGTGAGGTGAGGTGAGGTGCTGAGGTGAGGTGAGGTGAGGTGAGGTGAGGTGAGGTGAGGTGAGGTGAGGTGCTGAGGTGAGGTGAGGTGAGGTGAGGTGAGGTGAGGTGCTGAGGTGAGGTGAGGTGAGGTGAGGTGGTGAGGTGAGATGCTGAGGTGAGGTGAGGTGAGGTGAGGTGAGATGCTGAGGTGAGGTGAGGTGAGGTGAGGTGCTGAGGTGAGGTGAGGTGAGGTGAGGTGAGGTGAGGTGAGGTGAGGTGCTGAGGTGAGGTGAGGTGAGGTGAGGTGAGGTGAGGTGAGGTGCTGAGGTGAGGTGAGGTGAGGTGAGGTGAGGTGAGGTGCTGAGGTGAGGTGAGGTGAGGTGAGGTGAGGTGAGGTGAGGTGAGGTGCTGAGGTGAGGTGAGGTGAGGTGAGGTGAGATGCTGAGGTGAGGTGCTGAGGTGAGGTGAGGTGAGGTGAGGTGAGGTGAGGTGAGGTGAGGTGAGGTGAGATGCTGAGGTGAGGTGCTGAGGTGAGGTGAGGTGAGGTGAGGTGAGGTGAGGTGAGGTGCTGAGGTGAGGTGAGGTGAGGTGAGGTGCTGAGGTGAGGTGAGGTGAGGTGAGGTGAGGTGAGGTGAGGTGAGGTGAGGTGCTGAGGTGAGGTGAGGTGAGGTGAGGTGAGGTGAGGTGAGGTGAGGTGCTGAGGTGAGGTGAGGTGAGGTGAGGTACTGTTGTGGGGTACTGTTGTGAGGCCCACCTGAGGGGGTCTCCGCAGCCCGGTTCCACTGAGGTGGGGTGCTTAGGCTCCCCTGGGGTGCAGTCCCTCTGTCCAGCCCGCAGCCCACTCTCTGTGTCTCCTATGGGACCCCTGGGTCTCTGGGGCCAGGCCCAGGGCTCAGCCTCCACGCCTCCCTCCCTTGGCAGCATGGCAGCACCCATTCCTCAATGTCTTCAGACACTTCCGAGTGGATGAGTGGAAGCGGTCCAGCAAGGAAGGCGATGTGGCAGTGGTGACGGTACTGGCTGGTTTCTTCCTTCTTTCACCACCCCATCAGTGCTTGGGAGCCTTAGCTCTGCGTGGTGGCTTGAACTCTTCTCTTTCCCCAGGATAAAGTCTTGAAGAGCACTGTGTACCGCATCCGGGGCTCCGTCTCCGCCAGCAATTACATCCAGCTCCCCAGAACCAGTTCACAGTCCCTGGGGCTGACGGGGCGGTACCTCTATGTGCTCTTCAGGCCCCTGCCCACTAAGCACTTCGTGATCCACCTGGACGTGTCCACTGAGGTGCAGGTTCCCATGTGCTGAGTTCACAGTTCACCCCTCTTAGCGGTGCACCAGCGCGCTCAGTTCACTGCTGCCCCCTCCTAACTGCCTCTCTCTGCCACACAGGACGGCCAGGTCATCCGTGTGTCTTTCTCTAACCTCTTTAAAGAGTTTAAGTCCTCTGCCACATGGCTTCAGTTCCCCTTCGTTTTCCAGGCCAGGACATCTGATAGAGGTGATGTGTGGGGTGGGATGAGTTCTGTTCTGTTCTGTTCTGTGAGGGGTAGCCTGATGCCTAGAGCCAGGTGGTACAGGCCCAGTTTGGCTGAAAGCTCAGGCTGTGTGGCCTGAAAGACAGCTGGGAGAGTCACAGGCGCACAGACGTGGAAGTAGTCTGCCGAGTGTGGGTGCTGACCTGGGGTACCTGTCACACAGACATGGCAGGCATTGCCCCTCCTGCTGCCCGCTGGACTTGCCTGCAGCTTGACCTCCAGGACATCCTCCTCGTCTATCTGAGCCGGCGCTATGGCCACCTCAAGAGTATCAGGCTGTGTGCCAGCCTGCTAGTCAGGAATCTCTACACTAGTGATTTGTGCTTCGACCCTGGTGAGGCCATGCCACATGCCTTAGTCTGCGTGTCTGCTTCCTCCCTGTGTGTGTAGATCCTCTAACACCCTAGGTTCATGCCTGTGTGTCATGCTATCTTTGACACTAAACGCTTGGTGCAGCTGAAAGCCAGGGCTCCTCAGCTCTGGAGGCAGCACAGGGTAGGGACGGGGCAGCTGGGCTGGTGAGCTGGCAACACACTGGTGGGTGTCTGGTATTGTGTCTCACCTGGTGCTGGGAGAGGAGGCTAGTCAGACTTTCCTAGATTTGGAGTAACCCTGGTTGTCTTAGCTATCACCATCACTGAGGCCCGGCGGGCAAAGCTTCCTGTGACTCCTGTGCCTCGTGAAATGGCCTTCCCGGTGCCAAAGGGAGAGAGCTGGCATGACCACTATGTCCACATCCGGTGAGCAGCTCTGCCCCTGCTGAGAATACTGGGCATCAGGAGGACAGATGGCCTCCTGGTCCCCAGATGCTGATTATCTCTGTTTACCACCCACTGAGGTTTCCGAGTGACAGTCTGAAGACTTCTGGAAAGGTTCAGAAGATCAGTCCCCCTCCTGAGACAGGTGAGCCACTGGGAAATCCACAGGACATATACAACCTGGTAAGTGTGTGGAAGCTTTAAAGGGGACCTAGTATGTGCTGACAGCAGCTGACGAGCATGTGCCCAGAGCAGCCCGTGGACCGGCACAGGGTCTAGGGCTAGCTGGCAGGCCATCTGAGCTCCCGGGACTGCTGTGGAGATTTGTGTGAAGGCACTGCAGGGTCCAAGGTTTCTAACTGGAAGAGTAGGTGCCCAGGAAGAGTGTCCAGCTGCTGCGGTGTGGCTTCTGAGAGTGGATGCGTTGGGAACCACCTGCTCCTCCCGTTCTGCTGGTCCACTCACCAGGCATCCTCCTGTTCAGCTCAGTTACTGGGCTCTGTGTTCCGTTGCAGTCCTCCTGGGATCTGCATCTCAGCTTCTTTATCCAGAGGCCTTCAGCAAACTCACGCAGGATAGCACGTCAGCTGTGGCCCAGACATGCAGCCCCACAGCTGTGAGTGTCCCTGGGGCAGGGCTGGGGAAGAGTAGTTCTAGGGTGCTGATAGTCACTTGTTCCCTCACAGCCCTGCCAGCCCCTCTCTGTACCCAGGCTCCTCCCAGAGGTCAGCCTGTCCAACAGGCATTTGGAGGAGTCCAGCGGAGGTGACCTACGTACGCATGGCCGAGACCCTTCAACCTGGGTGCAGGCTACTGATGTGCGCACAGTGGTCTGTGGTGGCCATGTGCTTGCCCACAAGTCAGCTGGGGTGCCTGTGGCTCTTCACAATGCTGGCTCTTATAAGGTGAGTTCCTGCTCCAGAGTAGGTAGGTGGCTGCAGGGTGTGTGTGTGTGAATGTGTGTGTGTGCGCGCGCACGCATGTGTGTGTGCGCGTGATGGGTTAAGGGCTGTCCTATCAAGGCTGCAGTCAAGGGAGTTGAGATGAGACTCTAACCATCCCTTTTTGTGTAGCTTTGAGCAAGAATCCCTCTTTTTTTTGGTGGTTCCCGGGATTTAAACTCAGGACTTTGTTGTCATTATCATTTGTGCCATTTGTCCCCGGCCCACCCTCCGTTTTTTTTTCTTCACATGCTGGGGATGGAGCCCTGGGCCTCTAGCATGCTAGGTAACACTGGACCATTGAACCACATCCCCAGTCTCAAGTGACTTTTTCTTGCGGATCCAGCCTGAGGGTGGCAGTTCCAGGGAATGGTGTGCCATCCAGAGGTCTTACTGTGTGTTTTCCTGTTTCAGCACTTCCTCCCGGACCCAATTCTGAGGCTCAAGGGGGTCATTGGTTTCGGTGGCCACAGCACCAAATGGGTGAGGGTCCTGAAGCTGTTGCCAGGTTGTCTCACTGAGTATGGTGAATGCTTGCGGGAACAGAGATGCCCAGCCCCATTACTCCCTTCACCCCTGCAGACTGTCCTCTGGCCCCCATCCTGCCCCTCCAGACTCTTGTCCTGTCCTCAGGTGTTCCATCCTGCCCACATTTGTTCACTCAGGTCTCAGCACACTGGTTTCCAACTGTTGGTGCTTCCACTCACCTGGCAAAGCCCTGTAGGCAGTGCTGGGTTCAAGTGCTTGCAAAGGCAGAGTCCTCTGGCTGGTATCATTGTGCCCCTGGAGTGGAGGTGGGGATCTTTTGTGACCCAGACACACCCTGTGGAATGTATTGTGGTATTTCAGTTGGGCCTTGCAGAGAAGCGCCCCAATTAGAGAGGAATGGCATTTCTCTCCTGCTCAAGTGCCCTGGGCACTTGACAGGCCTTTCTGGTGCAGGAAGAGTCTTTAGGGGTTTGGATAGACCCCTTGGGTTTTGGTGCACAGATCCCCGAGTTTCTTGCATTGGAATCAAGGCCTGGAGGATGTGCATATATCTTAGTTATTCATTCTGCACATGCATCCCATCTACTCATGCTTATGACATGGGGAACATGTCTCAGTGTCCTGTCCTTGGTGGCCAAGTGTGTACCAGGACACCCCTGCTAATCTCTAGGCATCTAAGATAGGCCTGGGGTACTGCTGACTCGACCCCTGACCCTCATGCTAGGCCCTGTGGACCAAGGATGGAGCAGCTGTTGTTTACCCTTGCCATGCAGTCATTGTTGTCCTGAGGGTAGACACTGGGGAGCAGCGCTTCTTTCTTGGCCACACAGACAAGGTGGGTGCTGCCCAGGCCTGGTGAGGAGGGGTATGCACCTGGAGCTGTGAGCCCACATCATATTGTGCCTCCCCAGGTCTCTGCCCTGGCACTAGACAGGAGTAACTCACTGCTGGCATCAGCACAGGCCCAGCCCCCCAGCATGGTGCGGCTCTGGGACTTCCAGACAGGGGGGTGCCTCTCCCTATTCCGGAGCCCAATGCATACTGTCTGTTCTCTAAGGTGGGTGCAGGCCTCCACTCAGGACAGGGTGCAGGGGGCCCAGTGCATACGGTCTGTTCTGTCGGGTGGGGGCAGGCCTCCACTCAGGGCACTGCTGACTTCCTCTTCCATATCCACAGCTTCTCTGGCAGTGGGACTCTTCTCTGCGGTGTGGGCAAGGATCGCCACGGGAGGACGGTAATGACCCTGCCCTGGATCAGTGGTAGAGCAGCTGCATGGCAGCTTACTGGCTGTTTCTTAAGCATTTGTTTTCATTTACTAAAGTAACATGTTTTTTATGTTATTAAAAAACACACACACAGGGGCTGGGAAGATGGCTCAGTGGTAGAGCGCTAGCCTTGAGCTGAAGAGCTGAGGGACAGCGCCCAGGCCCAGAGTTCAGGCCCCATGACCAAAAAAAAAAAAAAAAATCTGAAGCCAGGCTTAGTAATGTGTGCAGTAATGCTAGCACTTAGAAGGCTGTGGCAGTAGAATTTCTTGAGTCAAGGAATTTTAAGTCCAGCCTGGGCTGCGTAGCCATTATCTCCCACCAAAAGCAAAAGGCCAATTTAGGAAATGACATCTCCTTTCTCCTTCCTAAAGCGTCCAGAAATGTATTCCTCAGTTTTGTGCCCTGAGAATACTTGTACCTACCTATAGGAAGATCCCTAGGTTATCTCACATTCTACGCTTTGGTTCCTGTCTTCTGGATAATGGATATTCCTTTAGGTCAGTATTTAGATGACTGACTTGCCCTCCTTGGTCCTGTCTTAGCTGTAAGACATGTCACACAGCACCTCTGAAGCCAGCCTACAGTGACTATGTTTCACTGCAAGGTGCGTCAGGCTTTTTCTTTTTTCAGTTGTGGGTCTAGGGCTTGAACTCAGGGTCTGGATGCTGTCCCTGAGCTCTTTTGCTCAAGGCTAGTACTCTACCACTTGAACCACCACTCTACTTGCAGCTTTTTGTTGGTAATTGGAAATAAGGTCTTACGGAATTTTCTGTCCCGGCCAGCTTTGTAGCTAGGATTACAGGCATGAGCCACTGGCACCTGGCTAGAGGCGGATTTCTGTCTCAGGGAAAAGCTGCTCTCTGGTGGGGTTCAGCCTGGCCTAACCAGTGAGGCAGGGTTGCACAGGGGTTCGTTGGGCGTGTGTCTATGTCTAGAGTTGAATGTGGCTTGTTGCAGGTGGTAGTGGTTTGGAGTACAGACCAAGTAGATGCTGGTGGTGAAGTGGGTGTGGTCGCCAAGGTACACACTGACTTTGACATTCAGACCTTCCAGATTGCCTATTTTGATGAAACCAGGTGATGTGGCTCCTGAGGGTCCTGGGGCAGGGACCGCATCTGGGGCGCTCTGCTCCCGAGCAGCACTCCCTACCGGATGCTTCCTCTTCAGGATGGCGTCCTGTGGGCAAGGCAGTGTGCGGCTCTGGCGGCTGCGTGGACGGACCCTGCGCTCCTGCCCCGTGGACCTGGGGGAACACTGTGTGCTGGAGCTCACGGACCTCGCCTTTGCACAGAACCCGGAGAGCTGCCCGGTGCCCTCCTCTCGCACACTGTGAGGCCCTGCCTTAGCCCCTCCCCACCACCCAGCCCACTCAGCACCTTTGGGACCCTGCCTCACCTGTCCCCTCTTTGGGACAGTTATGTATGCAGCCGTAGTGGTCACATCCTGGAGATTGACCACCAGCGCATGGCTGTGCGGTGCACCCGCCGCCTGCTGCCTTCACGGACTGCTGGTAGCCCCCTTCCCCAGAAGCAGACCCTCGTCTTAGGTAAGTGGGCCTCTGCACCCTGGGGGAGGCGGCTTCACCCTGAGGCTCTGACCTCTGGGCTCCCCAGGCTCCGGCATTGCCATCAGCAGCCTCAGTGTCTCCTCGACTGCATGTGCTGTGGGTTCTGAGGATGGCTACCTGCGAATCTGGCCCCTGGACTTCTCCTCAGTGCTCTTGGAGGCAGGTGAGGCTTTGGGTGTCCAATCCAACTAGGAGAGCTGGCTCTTCACAGGTCCTCTGCCTCTGGTTTTGGCAGTGCTGTCCCTGGGCTCAATGGGAGTCGTGGAGCCAAGGAGTGTGTCTTAAACTTGGGAATCTACCGATACTAGGACTGTAGAATGGCCTCACAGAAGGGCATTGGGGTGGTGTGTAGAGGGGAAGGTCTCTACGGCCTGGCCCAGGACGTGATGGTCCTGAAGAAGCTGCCTCCTCCAGCCTGTCTCAATCCGGGGACTTGGCACCATGGAAAAGGGTCTCTGTGTCTCAGGACGCCAGTGTCTGAGCAGAGCAGTGTGCCTCCAAAGCCCTGGGCGTTGCTGACTGCCTTTCCCACAGAGCACGATGGCCCCGTCAGCACTGTCTGTGCGAGCCCTGGCGGCCTGCGTGTGCTCTCCACCACCTCTTCGGGCCACCTGGGCTTCCTCGACATCCCATCCCGGGAGTACACTGTGCTAGCACGCTCCCACATGGCCTCAGTACTGGCCTTCTCCATGGAGCGGAGCCGGAGACAGCTGGCCACTGTGTCCCTAGACCACACTGTTCGCATCTGGGACCTGGCCACCCTACGGCAGGTGAGGTGTGGAAGAGGGCCTGTGTAGCAGACAGGACAGGCTACCCCAAAAGGTTGGAGGGCAGGAGAGCCGCAGGGCCTTCGTCTTTGCATCAGGTGCCTAGAACCTGATGTTCTAGGCCACCTAGAATACGCTTGTTCCTTGGGCTCTGGTGGCCCTGTGCATCCTTCATTCTGGCCCTCCTCCTCAGCTTTATGACTTCACATCGTCTGAGGAGGCCCCGTGTGCTGTCGCCTTCCATCCTACCTGGTCTACTCTCTTCTGTGGCTTTAGCAGTGGGGCCGTGCGCTCTTTCAGCCTGGAGAATGCTGGGGTTCTGGTGGAACACACGTGAGTGCCCAGCCAACGACGAGCCTGGTGGGGGCCTGGCCGCGTGGGAGTCCTGCAGTGGAAGCTGGGGTGGTACGGGGATGGCCAGCTCAGAGGACAGCACCGCCCAGTGTCCTTACGTGTGGTGCAGGCGTCACCGAGGGGCCATCACCAGCCTGATCGTCACCCCCGATGGCAGCTTCCTGTTCAGCTCTTGTTCTCAGGGCTCCCTGGTCCAATACGACTGTGCTGTCCCCCAGTGCCGCGTCCTCCGTGTAGCAGGTCAGGCTGGTCCCAAGGTGCTGGGGAGGCCCATGCCACCATGTGTCTGCCTCCCACCCAGGGTGGTTTTGGTTTGAGAGTTCAGCCCCACAAAGCCAAAAGCCAGCAAGGGGCTGTGCTTGCCCTGCTCTGCCCTTCCCTGCCCTCCTGCCCTGGGAGAACGTGGGTAGCCTGGACAAAGGTCAGAGCCAGCTAGAAGGCATCTGCTGCCCGCTGTGCCTCTATAACTTCGTATTGCTCAGCACTGGCCCACAATAACCTCCCACTCTCCTGCTCTCGTGCTGTGACAGCTGTGGAGTGAGCTGTGTTTCCTGAAGGTGGTGCCACTTCCCACCTGCTGACCTACCTGCCCTCTACTCTTACAGCCAACGTCGTATGTCAGGATGCCCGCCCGAACCCCAACACTTTGGCTGTCAGCGGGGACAGCCGCCTGCTGGCCTTCGTGGGCCCCTCCAAGGGCATGGTGACAGTCATGGAGTCAGCCTCTCTGGGTGAGGTAACTATGGGGTCTTGAGGGTCAGGGGCTGCCCCTGGCTGGTGAAGAGTAGGAGGCGTCTCAGGGTGAGGGAGAGGCCCTACAGTCCGGGGTAGGCCCTAGGTCCTGTCACCTCCTCATGGATGCAGTGAATTCAGTGTCTCAACCCCCTTAGGCCTCTCCCGCCCTGTGGGAAAGGTGGGGCCAGGTGGGACCCCGGGACTTCACCCTTCTCTGGCTCTGGGTGGTGCCTGTTTGATCAGGAGTTGGAGGCTAGTGGCCACTTGTATCCTCAGCTGTTGCGGGTTGATATCAGCACACTGGACCTCGCTGGCAGCCACCTGGGCTCGGCTGTAGCCATCTGCTTTGACCCTGCAGCCCCGGATCACTTACTGCTGTCCACATCATCCAATAAAATTGTGGTGCTGGACACAACATCAGGACGCACTGTCCGGGAGGTGAGCTCTGGCACCGCAACCACTCAGCTTTCCTGTCCTTGGTTCTGGCAGTCCTTCCAGTCAGGCAGGGATTGCAGCCACAGTCTGAGGGGTGGAGGTTTCCAGGGTACCAAGTGGACCCTCCCAGGAATGCTCTGTCTGTTACAGTTGTCCAGTGTCCGCCCCATGGCCTGCTCCTCCCTGGCTCTCAGTGAGAGTACTCGCTTCCTGCTGGCAGCCACTGGCCGAGCTATCAGCGTGCAGGGTTACCGGACACCCACTGACCCTGGGCACCAGGTATGTGCTCAGCATCCACAGACACAGAAGGTGGAAGAAGAGCAGAACCGTGATTCTGGGGCAAGGAGGGATGGGACCAGGGTACAGAGGGTGACATTTCTCCCTCCCCTCCCTCCACCCCCGGGCTTTGTGTGTCTGCTGAGGCCCAAAACCACACGGGTTTTGAGCCCCAACCTGTCAGGTGTGAAGCTCACCACCAGGCCTAGGTACTGAGAATACAACGGCATTGCTGGCCACACACAGCCCCTTTGAGCAACACTCACTGTCTCCAGGTGTACATTGGGCACTCAGAGCCGGTGCAGGCTGTGGCTTTCACCCCTGACCAGCAACAGGTCCTCAGTGTGGGGGACGCCATCTTCCTCTGGGATGTCGTGGCTGCCCCTGAGAGGCAAGTGTCTATCCTTGACCATGTCTACCTGGGCCTCCCTCTGGCCCCACCCCCAACACCTTGTTTCTTTGTCAGTGACAGAAGCAAGCCTAGGCCCCCCGCAGCTTGTGAGGCGGGTGAGTGGTCTGTGCCTGATGGAAGGGGTGTGCGTGGGGGCTGACAGGTGTTGGAGGTGATGCTGGGTGGTCCTGCACTGGGCGGTGTGGTGCTTCTACCGTGGCCTGTGTGTCCACCACCACAGCTGCCACCCTCAACGGACTCTGCCACTCCCAGCACTGAGCACTGTGTGGCTCCTTCCATCCCCAGGCCTGAGCGTGGGCCATCTGGAGGACACAGTGGCCAGTGGGCTTCCCCGGCAGCAGGTGCCTGTGCCATCTCAGATATCTCCACCTCCTCTGGATGTCAGAGCCAGGCCCCCGAAGGACAGTGCTGGTGAGGGGTCCAGTGAGTGTGGGTGGTCCCATGTGCCCCTGTGTGCTGACTCTGGGGCACCAGGGATGTAGGTGTGTGCTACCAGGGGCCTCCACAGATGGCAAGGAGACCCCAGGAGGCCCAGGAAGAGGAGGGCAGAGTGGTTACTGGGAATGGAGAAGCTGGCAGCAGGATGAGCAGGCAGCACGGTTCCTCTTCCTTTTCTCTCTGCTTCTAGGTACTTTCACTTCTGATGAGAAAGGACGCTGTGGGGAGAGCCATGGCCCCAAGGGGTTTGCCCAGGCTCCACGCCCTGCTGTGCTTGTTGAGAGGGAGCTTGGAGGCGCTGGAGATGGAGCCCTGGGGGCTGCCTGGGGCTCAAGGGGACCCCCTGTGTCTCCCCATCACCACGGCCAGCCTAGTAAGCAGGTGGACGTGGGTAGGGACCTGGGTGGAGGTGTCTTAGGGTTTAAGGTGGCCTAGGGGTGTCCCCAGCTATTCCTGCCCATCAGGGTGCTCCTCCTTAGAAGATTAGATGGGGCCACAGATTCCTGTGGCAAGGAGGCTGTAATGCTATGTGTGAGGTGAGGGGGTCTCTGAAGGACTGTGGGTAGTTTAATGTCCTGTGGCCTTTCCTTCCCTTCAGGTGCCCAGAACCTCAGAAAAGGAAGGGCTTGGCACACTGTCCGCCCGGATTCCTACAAGCATTTCACAGCTCGCTACAAGACCTCTCTGCCCTCCAAGGTTGGCAGCACCCCGGCTCTGCAGGGTGGAGTGGTCTCTGAGGATTTCTCCCCTGTGAACACGGGGTTCCAGGCACTCCTCAGGCACTTTCTGGAGGAGTTACCTTTCCCCCATCCTTCCCCACACTGCCCATCCTGCTGCACAGACTGGGCCTTGTGGTGTCCCAGTCACCTCCCCCAGCCGCTGTCCTCATCCTTCTCACCTCCCCCAGCCGCTGCCTCCCTTGGGCCTTCCCATCCTCTAGGTGCAGCAAGCACCTGTGGCTGCCACACTTGCCACCCGCCTGTCTGCATCCCAACACCTGGTCTGGCCAGTCTGTGTGTGCCCCAGAGCAGGTCTTGTGTGGGTTTGGGGGCCCAGGCTGCTGTGCCAGGAACCAGTGTCCTGGATTTGTTTCTTTGTAGAATGTCTTCTTCCCTCCCACTGGTGGTGAGCAGCTGCACCTGAAGGCTGTTGTGGGTTACAATGGGAATGGACGGGCCAACATGGTCTGGAGACCAGACACGGGTAAGTCCGGCTCGACCCACTGTCATCTGGGGGCTTCAAGGGTTGGTTATGTCCGTACCTGTCATACCCACATTTCTACATGCCTGTGGGTGTTAGTAACAGGAACCTCTCTGTCCGCAGGCTTCTTTGCCTACACATGTGGCCGCGTAGTGGTGGTGGAGGACCTGCACTCCGGTGCCCAGCAGCACTGGCTTGGCCACCCAGAGGAGATCTCCACGCTGGCTCTCAGTCATGGTGCTCAGGTGCCTGCCGTCCTTGTCCCCGTCCACACTGAGGTTCACGGCCAGGGCAGACCCAGCCAAGTCGCCCTGTGCCTGCTAACTGCCTGCCCTCTTGCTGCCAGGCTCTGGCCTCTGCCTCCTGCTGTGGCAGTGGGGCATCCCGCTGCCAGATCCGCATCTGGGACATACCCAGGGGCCTTTGCCAGCGGTGCCTTTCTCACCACGACAGTGCTGTGCAGGCCCTGGCCTTCTCTCCCGATGACAAGTTCCTTGTGACACTAGGTAGGTGGGTAGAGGGGCAGGGCTTCCTGGGCACCTGGGATGGCTAGGCTGTCCCTGACATGTGTCCCTGACATGTGTTCCCAGGGGATTACAGTGACCGGACCCTCACCCTGTGGAGCACAGACACCTATGAGCTGCTGTCATCCACCCGCCTCCCAGAGCCAGTGCACGATGTGGCCTTCAGCCCCTGGGACACTGGCGAGCTCACCTGTGTGGGCGCTGGTGCTGTCACCTGGCTCCTGCACCAGCATGGCGCAGACAGCAGCCTCCAGGTGCCTGGCCGCTGGCTAAGGTGTTGAGGTTCATGGGCCACTTCAGCAGTTTAATCCAGCAGGGATTCTGGCGCACTTCTGACCCACGTGCTGTTCCTCCTGCCCTTCCAGGTGCACCGACATCCAGTTCCTGAGGAGGTGGGGGTGGCCGAGCTGACCTCGCTCTGCTACGGGGCTGCCCCGCTGCTCTACTGTGGCGCTTGCTCTGGCCAGGTCTGTGTCTGGGACACCAGCACTGGCCGCTGTTTCCTGGCTTGGGAGGCAGATGATGGCGAGATTGGTAGGTGTCTGACAGCTTGCACAGCCCTCGACAGTGCAGGGAGGGAGGGACATGGCTGGGCCTAGCAGCTGGTTTCTTGCCTCCTAGGAGTGCTGCTGTGCTCTGGGTCCAGGCTGGTCAGTGGCAGCAACACCAGACGGCTGCGTCTGTGGGCGGTGGGGGCCGTGCCCGGGCTGAGGCGCCAAGGCTCAGGCGCCAGGTGAGTCGCTGCTGGCCTCTGCCCTGTCCCTCCCCTCAGGTTTTAGCCACACGGGAACTTGGTCTACAATGGGTTGCACGTGCCAGCAGTCCTCTGTTTCCTGAAGCAGAGTATAGGGAAAAGCTCAAAGCTCCCAGACTCCACAGGCTCTTGCTGACTCTGCCTAGGAAGATCCAACCAGGCCCAAGAGGTGCCTGTGGGTGACCCACCTGGATCTTGGCTTTGCTTTGGGACGGCTGCCCTTTCTACCATGTAGGTCCAGCTCAGTGTTCATGGAGCGGGAGCTGACCCTGGACGGGGCTGTTGTGAGTGCGAGCTTCGACAGCAGCATGGACATTGGAGTGGCAGGCAGCACGGCTGGCACACTCTGGTACATCGGCTGGGCCGAGGGCACCAGCACGCGCCTCGTCAGCGGCCACAGGGGCAAGGTGAGGCCACACAGCAGAGAAGACATCTCAGGGCTCCACCCTAGACAAGCCAGCAGCAAGCCCGTCTGGCACCCTCCCTGCTGCTCCCAAGAGAAGTTGCAGGTAGCTGTTAGGAATCACAAGGTGGGGCCTCTTGAGCTGCCACATCACAAGGTGACCAGGGAGTCCGCACAAGGCCCAAGCCTGATGAGCCCTGCTGGGCAACTTGCCAGACTCCAGTGTCCAACTCCGCCCCACGCCCCTGCCAGCTCTGCTGGCACTGTCCCATGGGGTTGATCCCTCGTGAGAAGCGAGGGGCCACATTCTGGCTGGGTTCTGCTCAGGTCTGGTCAGGTGCTTGTTGGTCCTCTTCGGGTGTCGACAGGCATCTGTCAGGTCCTGTGGTCAGATATGGTAGGCAGGTTCTGGTCAGGTGGGCTGAGTTCTGGTTAGGACTAGACCAGATTCTGGTTGGGCCTGATTGAGTCTAATCATGCTGTAGTCTGGGCTGGGTCAAGTCTGCTCAGATCTAGAAAGGTTGTGGTTGGCTCTGTTTGGATGTGTTTAGACCAGGTCAGGGCCAGTATGTTCTGTCACTCCAAGAATAGCAGGCTCACCCCCTCCTGCTGGGAAGAGTAGCAGGGGTTGCTGGTCTCTGGCCCCTGGCAAGAGAGCCCCCACCAGCATGTCTCAGGAAGTGGGTTTCCTATGTAGGCTTCCACAGGCTTGAGGGAGGACATGGCCTCATTCGCTCCACCCCTAAGGTGCAGCCAGAACAGGCTAGAGCCACAGGTGGGTGCCACTTTTGCTTCCTTGGAACAGGTTCAGAGTATTGAGCCGTTGTCCTTCACTCAGTGCCAGTGCACTTCCTCTGAGGGCCTTTTTTTGGTTTTGTTTTTATTACCTTTTTTTTTTTCTTTGTGGGGGGGGGAGGGGCAGTCCTGGGGCTTGAATTCAGGGCCTGGGCACTGTCCCTGAACTGCTTTTGCTCAAGGCTAATGCTCTACCACGAGCCACAGTGCCACTTCCAGCTTTTTCTGTGTATGTGGTACTGAGGAATTGAACCCGGGGTTCATGCATGCTAGGCAAGCACTCTACCACTAACCACCTTCCCAGCCCCAGTTTTATAAGTACAATATATATTTCTTAGTTTCTTTGGTACTGGACTTGGACTCAGGACCTTGTGCTTGTTAGGCTGGCACTCTACCACTTGAGCCACACCTCCAGCCCAGCAAAAAGCAAGGCTTTTGAGAACAGACTCTTAGGAACACTACTGGGTCTCTTTGTATCACAACATCTCATCTGCAGCTACCACTTAAAAAAAAAATTGGGGGGCTGGGAAGGTGGCTCAGTGGTAGAGCGCTTGCCTTGCATGCATGAGGCCCTGGGTTCAATTCCTCAGCACCACATAAGCAAAAAAGAAAAAAAAAAAAACGGAAGTGGCGCTGTGGCTCAAGTGGTAGAGCGCTCGCCTTGAGCTGAAGAGCTGAGGGACAGCGCCCAGGCCCAGAGTTCAGGCCCCACAACCAGACAAAAAAAAAAGAAAAAAGAAGAAAAAAAAATTGATGTCTATTTATCTGAAGATAATAGCAGTCTGAGATGGATAAGTTCTTTTCCTGTGTGGAAAGTATAATTTGTAGACCATGTATTTCATTCACTCAGGAAATAGGGTTTTTCTCCAATAGAATCACTTTCAGAGCATTTCCACTACCCTAAGAGGAGACCCATGTCCATTGGCAGTCCTTCACCAGCTCCTCAGCAACCACTGATGGGCTTCCTGTCTGAATGTCCTTGCTCACGGCAGTCCATCTGAATGGGTCATCAGCGTTTGGCCTTGTGCCTGGATTCCGTGAGCATCGCCTTACCAGCTTCTTCCTGGCTGTAGCAAGTGTCAGTACTTCTGTCATTCTTGCAGACCATGTGTTCCACTGACCACCAGAACGTGGAGATCTGGGTCCTAGCTCAGCCCCTCTCAGTATTTAGGCTGAGGCCATGGTCAGACTCACAGATGAACTAAGCTGGGACTGGCCCTTGGGCCTTGGTATGCTGGGTCCGTGGACTGCCACTGAGCCACCCAGCCCTGAGCTGTCTTCTGAAGTGGAGTATCTCTTGAGCTCACATCTGTACCAGCTGTGATGCCGAGTGCTTTACTGAACCTCCTTGGTGTGTGGCTTCTGTACCTTCTTTTTCCACAATCTCCAGTTCAGTGCTCCTGTGGGATGGTATGACCTGCATTCAACTCTGGGGAAAACCAAAACCACTAGTGTTGTGACTCCAAAGTCAGCAAGGTGGGGGTGGGTTCCTTTGGTGCTTTTGCCTCCCGTCAGCGGCCCCGCTGGAGGGGAAAAACCATGTTACTGTGACTTCATTTCTGTTAGCACTGTGTGTGGAATCCCAGATCACACCAACTGGCAGGCTCCTAGGGAAGGAAGCATATGCGCGCCCTAGGATGCCCCAGCCAGACAGTGCTTGTAGGGGCTGGGGAGGTGGCTCAATGGCAGAGCGCTTGCCATGCATGCATGAGGCCCTGGGTTCGATTCCTTAACACCACATAAGCAGAAAAAGCCAGAAGTGGCGCTGTGGCTCAAGTGGTAGCGCGCTTGCCTTGAGCTGTAGAGCTGAGGGACAGCGCCCAGGCCCAGAGTCCAGGCCCCATGACCGACAAAAGCAAAAAACAGTGTTTGTCCTCCACGCAGAGGTAGCCTGTTCAGGAGGGCTTAGGCAGTGGATGTACTCCTGCATGGTAGCCTGTTGTGGAGGCTGGGGTTGGGAAGGCCCGGTCGGGTGACCCTCAGCTGAGCTGGGCCCCACAGGTGAATGAGGTGGTCTTCAGCCCCAGTGAGTCACACTGTGCCACCTGTGGTGAGGATGGAAGTGTCAGGGTGTGGTCCTTGGCCAGCATGGAGCTGGTGATCCAGTTCCAGGTGCTGAATCAGGTATGTGATGGGTGTGGGGGAGCTGGGGGGCTTGCTTGGGACCGGCACGCCCCTGAGCAGCGTTCCCAGCTTCCTGAGGCTCTGGCCTGGCCCTTGAGACTGGTGCTCCTGTCTCCACCCTGCACCCTGGGGCATGCTGGTGTTCCCTCCCCTGGGCTGCAGAGCTGCCTCTGCCTTGCGTGGAGCCCCCTATCCTGCAGACGCCCAGAGCAGCAGAAGGTGGTGGCCGGCTACAGTGATGGCACACTGCGTGTCTTCAGCATCCCCCAGACCGCCATGGAACTCAAGATGCACCCTCACCGGGCTGCCATGACCGCCGTTGCTTTCTCCGCTGATGGTGAGGAGCCGGTAGAGCTGGGTGGCCAGCTGGGGCCCCTCCAGTCCATACCACACTCCTAGGCCGGGCGCTGGCTCATGGACACGGCTCTGGTTCTCCTTGGCCCAGGTCAGACTGTCCTCTCCGGAGACAAGGATGGCCTTGTGGTCGTGAGTCGCCCCTGCACAGGGATGAGCTTGCGTGTGCTCAGTGACCACCAGGGCTCCCCAATCTCTACCATCCAGAGTACAAGTAAAGAGGTAAAGCAGCCCCACTGGTACGTGCAGCCTGGGGAGATGGTAGGGCAGGGGCAGCAGGCACCAATGACTAACCCTTACCTCCCCAGTATGGAGAGCTAGGGGTGGAGGGCACAGACCTGTGGCTGGCTGCCAGTGGGGACCAGCGGGTGAGCGTCTGGGTTTCCGACTGGACCAGGGACCACTGTGAACTCCTGGACTGGTTGAGTTTTCCAGCTCCTGCCGCTTTGGAGGTAAGAAGTCGGGTGGACTGTGGGTGGGACGCGGGGTGGGCACCTGACTCAGCGCACTACCCTGCAGGCCCCAGGCACCCCCCCACCCTCCCTTGCTGCCTTCTGCCCCTGGGACCGCGCCCTGCTGATCTGTGTGGGCCTTGGAGCCCACACAGAAGTACTCTTCTACAGCCTCCGCCAGAAACAGGTACGTGTGCCGCCCACAGCTGAGCAAGGCAGGGCTGCTGGGCTGGGCCCGGGCGGAGCCCCGGCCTCACGCCCGCTGCCCGCTGCCCGCTGCCCGCAGGTGGTGGTGAAGACGCCGCTGCCCTCCTTCGCCATGTCCCTGAGCCTGTCCGCGGGCTCACGCCTGATGGCCGTCGGCTTCGCTGGTGAGTTCTGGTGACACAGACTTGGGCAGGGGCTCCTCTCCACGTCAGCCTGCTGTCCGGGGGGGTCGGGGGTGGACGGCTGGGCCCCCCACTACAGCCTGCTGTCGGGGGTTGGGGTGACGTCAGCCTGCTGTCGGGGGGTCGGGGTGACGTCAGCCTGCTGTCGGGGGGTCGGGGTGACGTCAGCCTGCTGTCGGGGGGTCGGGGTGACGCCAGCCTGCTGTCGGGGGGTCGGGGTGACGCCAGCCTGCTGTCGGGGGGTCGGGGTGACATCAGCCTGCTGTCGGGGGGTCGGGGTGACGTCAGCCTGCTGTCCGGGGGTCGGGGTGACGCCCCCCCACCTGTGCCGTCGGCTGCCCGCAGAGCGCACGCTGCGGCTTCTGGACTGCGTGTCGGGCACCGCCCGCGACTTCGCCGGCCACGACGACCTGGTGCACCTGTGCAGGTTCACGCCGTCCGCCACGCTGCTCTTCACCGCCGCGCACAACGAGATCCTGGTGTGGGAGGTCACGGCCCGGGAGGACTGCGGGCCCGGGGCGGGGCTCGGTAGCCGCCCGGGGCGGGCGCAGTTTGAATAAACGCCGGCCTCTGTGCGCCGCCTCCTCCTTGCCGCGCGGGCGGGGCGGGCGGGCGCAGTTTGAATAATCGCCGGCCTCTGTGCGCCGCCTCCTCCTTGCCGCCCGGGGCGGGGCGCGCGGGCGGGGCGGGCGGGCGCAGTTTGAATAATCGCCGGCCTCTGTGCGCCGCCTCCTCCTGGCCGCCCGGGCGGGGCGGGCGGGCGCAGTTTGAATAATCGCCGGCCTCTGTGCACCGCCTCCTCCTTGCCGCCCGGGGCGGGGCGGGCGGGCGCAGTTTGAATAATCGCCGGCCTCTGTGCGCCGCCTCCTCCTGGCCGCGCGGGCGGGGCGGGCGGGCGCAGTTTGAATAATCGCCGGCCTCTGTGCGCCGCCTCCTCCTGGCCGCGCGGGGGCGCCGCTCGGCCGCTCTGGCCCGGCGGGGGCGGGGCCGGAAGTGTGGGCGGGCGCTCGGCGGCGGAGGGACGGAAGTGCGGGGTCGGGGGTCGAGGTCCGGAGGGCGCCCCGGCGCTGCGGGCGGCAGCCATGAGGCGGGACGTGCGCATCCTGTTGCTGGGCGAGGGTAGGCACGGGCCTTCCGGGCGGGCGGGGGGGGGGGGGGGGGTCGCGGGCGCCTCGACCTCGCGGCCGCCTGACCGCACGCCCGTGCAGCCCAGGTGGGGAAGACGTCGCTGATCTTGTCGCTGGTGGGCGAGGAGTTCCCCGAAGAGGTGAGGGCGAGGGCGGGGCTGGGGGGGGCCCCGGTGGGGGGCGGGGGGCCCCGGCGGGGGGTTGGGGGGGCGGGGGACTGGGGGCCCCGGCGGGGGGGGTGGGGGGGCGGGGGACTGGGGGCCCCGGCGGGGGGGGTGGGGGGGCGGGGGACTGGGGGGGCCCGGATGGGGGGCGGGGGCCCCTGCGAGGCGGGGGGCGGGGGACTGGGGGGCCCCGGCGGGGGGGGTGGGGGGGCCCGGATGGGGGGCGGGGGCCCCTGCGAGGCGGGGGGCGGGGGACTGGGGGGGCCCCGGCGGGCCGGGCCGGGGTCAGGCCTCCCCGACTGCTTCCAGGTCCCGGCCCGCGCCGAGGAGATCACCATCCCCGCTGACGTCACCCCGGAGAAGGTGCCCACGCACATCGTGGATTACTCAGGTAGGCCCGTGCCGGGCGCCGCCGGCCGCGGGGCCTGGCTGCAGCTCGCTCTCGCCTCCTCTCTTCCCTAGAAACGGAGCAGACGGAGGAGGAGCTCCAGGATGAGATCCACAGGGTGAGGCGCTGAGCCGGAGTCGGGGCCAGGCGTGGGGGGTGCTGAGCCCGAGTCAGGGTCGGATATTGGCCACCATCTGGGCCTAATCCGCTTCCTCCACTGGGGAACTGAATTAAGTCCACCGGCTGTCCTTGGCCTGCTAATTCTGCCTTGACCCTTTGGCTCCCAGTACACCTTCCCGGGATCTCTTTTCTGCACTCGTTCCTGGGGGGGCGTGCCATCACAGCCTGCCTTAAACATCCCCATGTCCTCCACTTTGCTCTGTGGTCCAGTCTGTACGAGGCCCCCAGGTCCCAGAGGATCCTGTCTTGACCAAGGCCTAGCTGTTGTTAGAACCTCTGTGCACTACAGCCCCCATGGTGTGTCCTTTATGTCAGTCCTGCTCTGGCCACCGCTGCCCAGGGGAGACCCCTTCCACCGTCACTTTGGTTGTTTGTAGTGAGATCAAAGTAAGGGGCTGAGACCAAGACTGGGTCTCTAGTACAGCTTTTTGTCCTCTGGTATGATTATGCCTGTCCTGACAAGTCAGCTCAGGTCCTGGGGCCCCGGTGGCCAGAGCCACAGTACTAAGCCCTGGTGTCACTGTACTGGGAGCAGGCAGGGAAGGGGCTTGTCCAGACAAGGGTAGGCGTTTCAGGCCTCTGCTGTATCCCGTCCTGCCTGTGAGCACCTTGGCTGTGCGCAGTGAATGCCCAGCCTTCACTCACCCTGTGCCTTGGTGCTCTTCCCACAGGCAGATGTGGTGTGTGTGGTGTACGATGTGTCTGAGGAAACCACCATTGAGAAGGTGAGCAGCAGGGAGCTCCCTCTGAACCCCTGGACACTGCCTGTCCTCAGTGCAGACTGCTCCTGAGTGTCCAGCGGACCCTCTCCTGCCTGTGACCAGCCTTGTAGAGCCCAGACCTCAGGGGGAGGTGATGAGTCTCCTGGGGCTTGGCCTGCTGTTGGGATCAGACAAGGCCCTGTGGACTCTGTTTTCTCCCTCCGGCTCCACTCCTAGTGGCCATGAGTTTGGTCCTCATTTGCCTTGATCTCCTCTCCTCTCCTATGTAGTCTGGGTCCTCTAAGGAGGACCTGTGGGCTGGTTGGGCGGCCTCATACCACAGCCAGTCTTTGCTTTTTAGATCCGAACCAAGTGGATCCCACTGGTGAATGGAAGGACTGAGAGGGGGTCCAGGTGAGAAACAGAGCCTTGGGGGCATGGAGGCGGCTCGGCCCACCAGCGGGGCTGCTTTCTTGACCTTGGACCTCTCTCCAAGGTTGCCTATTATTCTGGTGGGCAACAAGTCGGACCTGCGACTGGGGAGTGCCTTGGAGGCCGTGCTGCCCATCATGAGCCAGTTCCCTGAGATAGAGACTTGCGTGGAGGTGAGTGGCAGTCAGGGAGGAGACGTGAGAGCAGACGGTGCTCTGGTGAGGACAGTTCCGGGGGGAGGGGGGTGGTTCTCATGCCTGGGTCTCTCTTGGGTGCCTCCCCATGCTTGTCCGTGTTCTCCCAGTGTTCAGCCAAGCAACTGAGGAACATTTCAGAGCTGTTTTACTACGCCCAGAAGGCTGTTCTGCATCCCACAGCCCCTCTCTATGACCCAGAAGCCAAGCAGGTGAGCTATGGGCCTCATCTCCACCCAGACCCCCCTCCTGGTGCCCACATGGGTGTCATCGGGACGGTGATGGTGGAGGCTGCCTGGTGCTGAGCTGCTGCCCACCCCTGCAGCTGCGGCCCGCATGCATCCAGGCCCTCACGCGCATCTTCAGACTCTCGGACCAGGACCTGGACCACACGCTCAGCGACGAGGAGCTCAGTGCCTTCCAGGTGTGCCTGCCCCTGAGGTACCCGCCCTTAGGCACTGGCCACCCTCAGTGGTGAGACCTGGCAGTCTGGGGCAGCTGGCTGATGAGAGGCAACTTCCTCTTGGAGGCAGAAGTCTTGCTTTGGCCACCCTCTGGCCCCACAGGCCCTGGAGGACGTGAAGAGGGTAGTGTGTAAGAACGTGGAAGGCGGTGTGCGTGACAACGGGCTGACCCTGGAGGGTGAGGCTAGACGCGGTCCGGGCTCCGGCGTATGTGGGGTCATGGGCTGGCTCGGGCTGGATGCCAGCTCCACTCTGCCCTGCCACAGGCTTCCTCTTCTTGAACACGCTCTTCATCCAGCGTGGCCGGCACGAGACCACATGGACCATCCTGCGGCGGTTCGGTTACAGCGACGCGCTGGAGCTGACGGCTGATTACCTCTTCCCACCGTGAGTGGCAGGCGGCAAGAGGCCCAGGGCCGCGGGGCTCTCCCTCCAGGGGGTTGTTCTGCTCAGCAGACCTCTCTGGGACTGGCTCCCCTTCACCTACACTCCACTGTGCTGGGCAAGTGGATGGGCCCTCAGAGAGCCCCTCTGTGTGGCCATCCACACTCGAGAGCCAGGGGCTGGCCGGGCCATCCTTGTCTGGCCCGTCTTGGGAGGGGAGGGCTTGCCGACACAGGGACAGCAGGTGACTGCAGGATGTGTGGCAGCCGCCTGTGGCATCCGCAGGCTCCACGTGCCCCCTGGCTGCAGCACGGAGCTCAGCCACCGTGGCTACCAGTTTGTGCAGCGGGTGTTTGAGAAACATGACCGGGTAAGTGCCACAGTGCTGCTGCCCTCCCCCCACGGGCTCCCGGCGCCCCCCGTCCTCCCCACGGGCTCCCGTCCCCCCCGTCCTCCCCACGGGCTCCCCTCAACCCCCCCGTCCTCCCCACGGGCTCCCCTCACCCCTCCTGCTCCCCCACGGGCTCCCCTCACCCCTCCTGTCCCCCCACGGGCTCCCCTCACCCCCGTCCTCCCCACAGGCTCCCCTCACCCCTCCTGTCCCCCCACGGGCTCCCCTCACCCCTCCTGCTCCCCCACGGGCTCCCCTCACCCCTCCTGCTCCCCCCACGGGCTCCCCTCACCCCTCCTGTCCCCCCACGGGCTCCCCTCACCCCTCCTGTCCCCCCACGGGCTCCCCTCACCCCTCCTGTCCCCCCACGGGCTCCCCTCACCCCTCCTGCTCCCCCACGGGCTCCCCTCACCCCTCCTGTCCCCCCACGGGCTCCCCTCACCCCTCCTGTCCCCCCACGGGCTCCCCTCACCCCTCCTGTCCCCCCACGGGCTCCCCTCACCCCTCCTGCTCCCCCACGGGCTCCCCTCACCCCTCCTGTCCCCCACGGGCTCCCCTCACCCCTCCTGCTCCCCCACGGGCTCCCCTCACCCTTCCTGTCCCCCCATGGGCTCCCCTCACCCCTCCTGTCCCCCCACGGGCTCCCCTCACCCCTCCTGTCCCCCCACGGGCTCCCCTCACCCCTCCTGTCCCCCCACGGGCTCCCTGTCACCCCTCCTGCTCCCCCACGGGCTCCCCTCACCCCTCCTGTCCCCCCACGGGCTCCCCTCACCCCTCCTGCTCCCCCCACGGGCTCCCCTCACCCCTCCTGTCCCCCCACGGGCTCCCTGTCACCCTTCCTGCTCCCCCACGGGCTCCCTGTCACCCTTCCTGTCCCCCCATGGGCTCCCCTCACCCCTCCTGTCCCCCCACGGGCTCCCGTCACCCCTCCTGTCCCCCCACGGGCTCCCCTCACCCCTCCTGTCCCCCCACGGGCTCCCCTCACCCCTCCTGTCCCCCCACGGGCTCCCTGTCACCCCTCCTGCTCCCCCACGGGCTCCCCTCACCCCTCCTGTCCCCCCACGGGCTCCGTCACCCCTCCTGCTCCCCCACGGGCTCCCCTCACCCCTCCTGTCCCCCCATGGGCTCCCCTCACCCCTCCTGCTCCCCCACGGGCTCCCCTCACCCCTCCTGTCCCCCCACGGGCTCCCCTCACCCCTCCTGTCCCCCCACGGGCTCCCCTCACCCCTCCTGTCCCCCCACGGGCTCCCCTCACCCCTCCTGTCCCCCCACGGGCTCCCCTCACCCCTCCTGCTCCCCCCACGGGCTCCCCTCACCCCTCCTGTCCCCCCACGGGCTCCCCTCACCCCTCCTGTCCCCCCACGGGCTCCCCTCACCCCTCCTGCTCCCCACGGGCTCCCCTCACCCCTCCTGTCCCCCCACGGGCTCCCCTCACCCCTCCTGCTCCCCCACGGGCTCCCGTCACCCCTCCTGTCCCCCCACGGGCTCCCCTCACCCCTCCTGTCCCCCCACGGGCTCCCCTCACCCCTCCTGTCCCCCCACGGGCTCCCCTCACCCCTCCTGTCCCCCCACGGGCTCCCCTCACCCTTCCCTGCTCCCCCACGGGCTCCCCTCACCCCTCCTGTCCCCCCACGGGCTCCCCTCACCCCTCCTGTCCCCCCACGGGCTCCCCTCACCCCTCCTGCTCCCCCCACGGGCTCCCCTCACCCCTCCTGTCCCCCCCACGGGCTCCCCTCACCCCTCCTGTCCCCCCACGGGCTCCCCTCACCCTTCCTGCTCCCCCCCACGGGGTCCCCTCACCCCTCCTGCTCCCCCCACGGGGTCCCTGTCACCCCTCCTGCTCCCCCCACGGGGCTCCCTGTCACTCCCTACCCCCACCGGCTCCCCTCACCCATGGTGACTTTCCTGGCAGGACCGGGACGGAGCCCTTTCTCTTGTGGAACTGCAGAGCCTCTACAGTGTGTTCCCCGTGGCCCCCTGGGTCCCTGAGCTCCCACGCACGGTCCGCACGGAGGCTGGCCAGCTGCCCTTGCACGGGTACCTCTGCCAGTGGACGTAAGCACAGCCACACCTCCCTCCCAGCCCGCTGGCCCCTGCCCCCACGCCGTGTCCTCACCCCCCGCCCCCCCCAGCCTGGTGACCTACCTGGACGTCCGGAGCTGCCTGGCACACCTCGGCTACCTGGGCTACCCCACGCTCTGTGAGCAGGACTCCCAGGCCCAGGCCATCACAGGTGGGTACTCCTTGCGGGCCCTGGGGTGGCCTTTTCTCGAAGATGCCTCATCTCAGTTCCTTCTTGCAGTCACCCGGAGGAAGAGGCTAGACCAGGAGAAGGGGCAGACGCAGCGCAGTGTCCTCATGTGCAAGGTGCTGGGCGCCCGGGGCGTGGGCAAGTCCGCCTTCCTGCGAGCCTTTCTTGGCCACCACCTGGGGGTGAGCGTCTGCAGAGCCCCAACCTCAGCCTGGGGACGTGAGGGGGGGGATGATGGACATGAGGGAGTACTGGAGGGAGCACAGGGTGGACACGGGGGGAGGGGGGACGACATGAGGAGGGGGTTGCTCTGTGGACACGGGGGGGGGGATGACATGAGGAGGGGGTTGCTCTGTGGACACGGGGGGAGGGGGACGACATGAGGAGGGGGTTGCTCTGTGGACACGGGGGGGGATGACATGAGGAGGGGGTTGCTCTGTGGACACGGGGGGGGGGATGACATGAGGAGGGGGTTGCTCTGTGGACGGGGGGGGATGACATGAGGAGGGGGTTGCTCTGTGGACATGGGGGGGGAACGACATGAGGAGGGGGTTGCTCTGTGGGCAGGCATAGCGGGACCCCTTCCCCCCTGGTGTTAGGAAGCCCAGGAGTTACCTGCAGATTCTCCAGTTCATGTCATCGACACAGTGCAGGTCAACGGACAGGAGAAGTACCTGATTGTGAGTGCTGAAGGGCGTGTGCCCTGTTCCAGAGGGCAGGTCTGGGGGACCCTATGTCCTGCTCCAACAGGGTGGCCCTTGGGGGACCAGCCAGGGGCAGGCCCCTGAGTGCACCCTGTCTTGTAGCTGTGTGAAATGAGTGCAGATAGCTTGCTGGCCGCCTCTCCAGACACCACCTGTGATGTTGCCTGCTTGATGTTTGACGGCAGTGACCCCAGGTCCTTTGCACACTGCATCAGCGTCTACAAGGCAAGGCAGGGCCTGGGCCCCAAGGGAGCCTTGCTGTGGGGTTGGAGCCAGAGTGGTTCAGCCCTCACGTGCCTCTGCCCGGCAGCGCCACTACATGGACGGCCAGACCCCCTGCCTCTTCGTCTCCTCTAAGGCCGACCTGCCCGAAGGCGTTCCCCCCGCAGGCCTGTCGCCGGCCGAATTCTGCCGTCGGCATCGGCTGCCTCCTCCTACCCCCTTCTCCTGCGTGGGTCCAGCCCAGCCCCATACTGACGTCTTCGCCAGGCTTGCCACCATGGCTACCTTCCCGTGGGTACCACACCAGTGCCATGGGCAGGGGGCGGGTCGGGCAGTGCCTGCCGTGGGGTGAGCCAGTATCAGGAGGAACTGGGGCTGCAGGGGCTTGCAGCATCCAGACGCACACCCTAAAACACCCCTGTCCCCACAGGCACCTGGTCCACACAGAGCTGCACCCCACCCCCGTCTGGCTCAAGGGAGTGCTGGTGGCTGTTGGAGCTGCCATGGCTGCCGTCCTCAGCGTCTCGCTGTACCGGGTCCTGGTGAAGAGTCGGTGATCCCCGCTACGCTCCCCCTGGGCCCGGCCTGGCCCCTGCAGAGGCCCGCGTGGGGGGGTGGGCAGTGTGGCCACAGGACTCGGGGGCACTGGTGTGGGTGCCCGTCCAGGGCACCTTTTTTTCTGTCTCACTTGCACTTCTGAAGGACAGCTGCCCAAGGCAAGAGCGGTTTTCCACGTCCCACCCCGGCTCCTGTGGGGCTGGGCGTGAGCTCTGGGTGGCAGCCGTGGCTGCTGGCGCGGCTTCACCTTTGGGATGTTGTGTGTTGAGGTCTGGGGTCACGGGTGAGGGGAGACTGTGACCCCAGACCTGTCCTTCTCAGGGCTCCACCTCTCCTAGTTGGGTATGGCCAGTGCGTGTGTGGGGACGGAGGGCTGTGTTGAGCAGGGAGTGGCTGGGGAGCTGGGCAGCGCCCGCCTGTCCATCCACCTCGGACCCTGGCCTGCTGCGCCCGCCGCAGACACTCAAGATTGGGTTTCCCAATTAAACGTCACTTGCCTTTACCTTCAGACTTTGGTTTTTGGGCCCACTTTTCTTGGAAATGACCCTGGTATGCCTCTGCCCCAGGAGGTCCAGGGTTTCCTGCGTGTGGCTGGGCTTCTGGGGGGGAGCAGCCACACCTCCTCCGGGACGCGGGCATGGTGGGGGTGCCCTGGGGCCACATGCCTGGAGGGGAGGCAGTGCTGCCCCTGTGCACCAGGAAAGCCTCCCCGTCCCACCGTCCACAGGCCCTCTGCAAGCCTCAGCGCCCGCCCGAGGCAGGCCGCCCCTCAGCAAGCCTCTGCCCCCAGGCAGGAGGCAGGCCGCCCCTCAGCAAGCCTCGGCCCCCAGGCAGGAGGCAGGCCGCCCCTCAGCAAGCCTCTGCCCCCAGGCAGGAGGCAGGCCGCCCCTCGGCAAGCCTCGGCCACCAGGCAGGAGGCAGGCCGCCCCTCAGCAAGCCTCGGCCCCCAGGCAGGAGGCAGGCCGCCCCTCGGCAAGCCTCGGCCACCAGGCAGGAGGCAGGCCGCCCCAGGTGGCGGCCAAAGCGACAGCACGGTGTTCCTGCCTTAGCCCACCTCCCCACCGTACTCCCCCCCCCCCCCCCCGCCGTCCTCTCCATCTCCCCCCCCCGCCGTCCTCTCCATCTCCCCCCCCCGCCGTCCTCTCCATCTCCCCCCCCCCGCCGTCCTCTCCATCTCCCCCCCCCCGCCGTCCTCTCCATCTCCCCCCCCGCCGCCCTCTCCATCTCCCCCCCCCGCCGCCCTCTCCATCTCCCCCCCCCCGCCGTCCTCTCCATCTCCCCCCCCCGCCGTCCTCTCCATCTCCCCCCCCCGCCGTCCTCTCCATCTCCCCCCCCCGCCGTCCTCTCCATCTCCCCCCCCCCCCCGCCGTCCTCTCCATCTCCCCCCCCCGCCGTCCTCTCCATCTCCCCCCGCCGCCGTCCTCTCCATCTCCCCCCACCCCCCCCCCCGGCCGTCCTCTCCATCTCCCCCCGCCGCCGTCCTCTCCATCTCCCCCCCCCCGCCGTCCTCTCCATCTCCCCCCCCCGCCGTCCTCTCCATCTCCCCCCCCCCGCCGTCCTCTCCATCTCCCCCCACCCCCCCCCCGGCCGTCCTCTCCATCTCCCCCCCCCGCCGTCCTCTCCATCTCCCCCCGCCGCCGTCCTCTCCATCTCCCCCCCCCCCCGCCGTCCTCTCCATCTCCCCCCGCCGCCGTCCTCTCCATCTCCCCCCCCCGCCGTCCTCTCCATCTCCCCCCCCCCCGCCGTCCTCTCCATCTCCCCCCCCCCCGCCGTCCTCTCCATCTCCCCCCCCCCCCGCCGTCTTCTCCATCTCCCCCCGCCGCCGTCCTCTCCATCTCCCCCCCCCCCCCGCCGTCCTCTCCATCTCCCCCCCCCCCCGCCGTCCTCTCCATCTCCCCCCCCCCCCCGCCGTCTTCTCCATCTCCCCCCGCCGCCGTCCTCTCCATCTCCCCCCCCCCCGCCGTCCTCTCCATCTCCCCCCCCCCCGCCGTCCTCTCCATCTCCCCCCCCCCCCCGCCGTCTTCTCCATCTCCCCCCGCCGCCGTCCTCTCCATCTCCCCCCCCCCCCGCCGTCCTCTCCATCTCCCCCCCCCCGCCGTCCTCTCCATCTCCCCCCCCCCCCCGCCGTCTTCTCCATCTCCCCCCGCCGCCGTCCTCTCCATCTCCCCCCCCCCCGCCGTCCTCTCCATCTCCCCCCCCCCCCCGCCGTCCTCTCCATCTCCCCCCCCCCCCCGCCGTCCTCTCCATCTCCCCCCGCCGCCGTCCTCTCCATCCCCCCCCCCCCCCCCGCCGTCCTCTCCATCTCCCCCCGCCGCCGTCCTCTCCATCTCCCCCCCCCCCCCCCCCGCCGTCCTCTCCATCTCCCCCCGCCGCCGTCCCCGCCGGCCGCCGCTCCGCGGGCGTGGCGCAGTCCTCCGGGAAGCTCCGCCGCCGAGGGGCGGGGCCGGGCCTGCGCGGGGCGTGCGCGTGCGGGGCGGCGTCTCCGTGACGCGGCGGGAGCCGGGCGCGCGCCGGGCGGGCGGGCGGAGCGAGCGGAGCGGGCCGGCCGGGGCGGAGCGGAGGTCCGCAGAGCAGCCCTCGGGCCCGGCCGCCCCCGCCCGGCCTGGCCGGCCCGGCCGCGCGGCTCTATGGACAGGAGCTCCCTGCTGCAGCTCATCCAGGAGCAGGTGCGTGCCCGCCGCACCCGCGCGAGCTGGGCCTGGGAGCCCCGGGCGCGCGGGAGGGCGGGCCGGGCTGGGGCCCCTCCGGACTTGACCCGCGGCTCCCCGACCCCAGCAGCTGGACCCTGAGAACACAGGCTTCATCGAGGCAGACACCTTCGCCGGCCTGGTGCACAGCCATGAGCTGCCCCTGGACCCAGCCAAGCTGGACATGCTGGTGGCCCTGGCTCAGAGCAACGACCGGGGCCAGGTCTGCTACCAGGAGCTGGTAGAGCTGGTCAGTGCCCCGGGGCCAGGGCGGCGAGGGCGGGGCCCGGGCCTGCACAGGGCCTGGCTGGGGCCGGGGGCTGCGCTGGGAAGGGCCGTGAGGATGAGGACGCGGTGCCTGGGGAGCGCGCCGTGGCCCAGCTGCGCCCCCACCCCACCCCACCCCAGATCAGCAGTAAGCGCTCCAGCAGCTTCAAGCGGGCCATTGCGAACGGACAGCGAGCTCTGCCCCAGGATGGCCTGCTGGACGAGCCGGGCCTGGGAGTCTACAAGCGGTTTGTTCGCTACGTGGCCTATGAGATCCTGCCCTGCGAGGTGGACCGCCGCTGGTACTTCTACCGGCACCGCAGCTGCCCGCCCCCCGTGTTCATGGCCTCGGTCACCCTTGCCCAGGTGGGCCTGCCCGTCCGCTGCCCCGGGGGCTCCCACCGCCCAGGCCTTGGCCGGCCCTAACTCCCGTGTCCCCAGATCATCGTGTTCCTGTGCTACGGAGCGCGCCTCAACAAGTGGGTGCTACAGACCTACCACCCCGAGTACATGAGGAGCCCCCTGGTGTACCACCCTGGGCATCGCGCCCGGGCCTGGCGCTTCCTCACCTACATGTTCATGCACGTCGGGTGAGCCTGCCCCAGAGCCGTGCCCCCTGGCTCCAAAACGCACAGCCTGGGGTGGGGGGGAGCTGGGGGCCGGCCCCGCGCCTCACGCCTGTGTGCCCCTCTGTGCCCAGGCTGGAGCAGCTGGGGTTCAATGCCCTGCTGCAGCTGATGATTGGCGTGCCCTTGGAGATGGTGCACGGCCTGCTTCGGATCAGCCTGCTCTACCTGGCCGGCGTGCTGGCAGGTGAGGGGGGGGGCGCCCCTGCCCTCCCGGCCGGCCGGCCGCACCCTCACCCCTCCCTTTGCCCGCACAGGCTCCCTGACGGTCTCCATCACTGACATGCGGGCCCCCGTGGTGGGGGGCTCCGGCGGGGTCTATGCCCTGTGCTCGGCACACTTGGCCAACGTCGTCATGGTAATGGGGCTGCCCTGGGCGGGGCGTGGGGGGCCCACCCGACTCTCCTCACCGCCCCCCTCTCTCTGCACGGCCCCGAAAGAACTGGGCCGGGATGCGGTGCCCCTACAAGCTGCTGAGGATGGTGCTGGCCCTGGTGTGCAGTGAGTAGGGGGCCGGGGGCGGGGCTGGGGGCCGGCCGTGGACGGGCGCCTCCCACCTGTCGCTCCCTCTGCAGTGAGCTCCGAGGTGGGCCGGGCCGTGTGGCTCCGCTTCTCGCCGCCGCTGCCCGCCTCGGGCCCACAGCCCAGCTTCATGGCCCACCTGGCCGGCGCGGTGGTGGGGGTGAGCATGGGCCTCACCATCCTGCGCAGCTACGAGGAGCGCCTGCGGGACCAGTGCGGCTGGTGGGTGGCGCTGCTGGCCTACGGGACCTTCCTGCTCTTCGCCATTTTCTGGAACGTCTTTGCCTACGACCTGCTGGGCGCCCACGTCCCGCCGCCGCCCTGACCGGCCCGGGGCGCCCCGTGCGGCGCCCCGGCCGCCCCGCGGGGTAGGGAGGGCGGCGGGCCCCGGCGCGCGGACCTCCCGACAGACGCCCGCCCCCGGGACTTGCAGTCTGAGCCTTTTGGAGAATGAATAAACACGTCACACGACGCTGCCGTCCCGGGGCTCCGGAGGCTGGTCTTGAGCCCCGCGCGGACCCCGCCGCACCGCATGGGGGCGCCGAGGGCTTCCGCCGGCCCGGGGCCGCGTCCGGGGAGGGGGGGGGGCGGCTCAGCGGGCCTGGCGTCCGGCCGGGGCCTGGCGCCCAGGTTCCGCCGCATCCCAAGCTCGGTCCGCGGCTTGAGGCGGGGCTGGACGTCCCTCGGCGCGGCCCACGCGGGCGGCACGCCTGCAGCCGCGGTCTGCGGGGCGGCCCGGCGCGCGGGGGGCGTGGCCGGCGGTGGGCGGGGCCGCGCGCGGCGGGGGCGGGGCCCGGGCCCGCCGAGAGCCGCCGCGGCCGCGTCACGGCGTCCCGCCCCCGGGCTCCGCGGCCGCGCGGCCCCGCCCCACGCCGGAAGTTCCGGTGGCGGATCGCGGGACCCGGCCGAGCTGATCTCGGCGCGGGCTGCGGAAGCAGAGCGGCCAGGCGGGGAGCCCGCGGCGGATCCCGAGCCGAGCCGTGCCGCGCGGCGCCATGAAGGGCAAGGAGGAGAAGGAGGGCGGCACGCGGCTGGGCGCCGGCGGCGGCAGCCCCGAGAAGAGCCCGAGCGCGCAGGAGCTCAAGGAGCAGGGCAACCGGCTCTTCGTGGGCCGCAAGTACCCGGAGGCGGCGGCCTGCTACGGCCGCGCCATCGTGAGTGCCGGGGCGGGCGGCGGGGGGGTGGGGGGGCGGCCGAGCCCCGCTCACGCGCCCGCCTCGGCCCCCAGACCCGGAACCCCCTGGTGGCCGTGTACTACACCAACCGGGCGCTGTGCTACCTGAAGATGCAGCAGCCCGAGCCGGCGCTGGCCGACTGCCGGCGGGCCCTGGAGCTGGACGGGCAGTCCGTGAAGGCGCACTTCTTTCTGGGGCAGTGCCAGCTGGAGATGGAGAGCTACGACGAGGCCATCGCCAACCTGCAGCGAGGTGGGCTGACGAGCGGCCGGTGGCGGGACGCCCGGGCCCGGCAGGGCGTGCCGGCCGGTGACCCCGAGTCTCCACTCCTCCAGCCTACAGCCTGGCCAAGGAGCAGAGGCTCAACTTTGGGGATGACATCCCTAGCGCTTTGCGCATCGCCAAGAAGAAGCGCTGGAACAGCATCGAGGAGCGGCGCATCCACCAGGAGAGCGAGCTGCACTCGTACCTCACCAGGCTCATCACAGCAGAGCGCGAGAGGTGGGTCCCTGCCCTGCCAGGCCCCTCTCCCAGGCCGACACTGAGTGGCCAGCGCGGGTGTTTATTTAAGGTCAACACCGCACCTGGGAAGTTGCGGGGGAAGAGGCCCGAGGTAGGGCGGGCTCTTGGTATCTTTTGGTCAGAGCCATCTGACTGGCTCCTGGTCACCCCCCCTCAGGGAGCTGGAAGAGTGTCAGCGGAACCACGAAGGTGACGAGGATGACAGCCGTGTCCGGGCCCAGCAGGCCTGCATCGAGGCCAAGCACGTGAGGGTGCCCCCGGCCTGTGGGTCTGTGTGCATGCATGTGTGGCATGAAGGTGCTCCAGCCCATGGTGATCTGTGGGCCTCTGTGTGACACACGGGTGTCCTAGCTCACGTTGTGTGTGTGTCTGTGCAGAGTAGACTTAAGTGGCCCACATGTGGTGCTCAACTCTTTGTAGGACAAATTCATGGCAGACATGGATGAGCTCTTCTCTCAGGTGGACGAGAAGAGAAAGGTAAGCAGCTGTTCCGGAAGCCTTTTTGTGGCAGGGACTGGCAGCGTCCCCTACCTGGTCCCTGACCCTGCCCCCCTGTGCTGCAGAAGCGAGACATCCCTGATTACCTGTGTGGCAAGATCAGCTTTGAGCTGATGCGGGAGCCTTGCATCACACCAAGTGGTATCACCTATGACCGTAAAGACATCGAGGAGCACCTGCAGGTAAGACCCCTCAGGAGCGGGGCCCAAGTGGCTCAGGCCTGCCATCCTAGCTACTTAGGAGGCTGAGACTTGAGGATTGCGGTTCAAAGCCAGCTCGGGCAGAAAAAAAAATCACCACGAGACTCTTATCTCCAATTAACCTCTCAAAAACTGGAAGTGGAGCTGTGGCTCAAAAGTGTAGAGCACTAACCTTGAGCCAAAGAGGCTCAGGAATAGCACCCAGGCTTCAAGCCCCACAGCCAACAACAATAAAAATGATCCCATGGATTGCGGAAGGCTAAGATGTCGACCTAGCCATTGAGTCTCTAACCCTGTTGTTGCTGCAGCGTGTGGGCCACTTTGACCCTGTGACCCGGAGCCCTCTGACCCAGGAACAGCTCATCCCCAACCTGGCCATGAAGGAGGTCATCGATGCGTTCATCTCTGAGAACGGCTGGGTAGAGGACTACTGAGACCCCCTTTGCCCTGTTGTGCCTGGTACCCTGGCCCAGGAGGGTTCTGGGACAGAGGCCCCAGGCCCTGTACAAAGTCTGTGTCCCTGGGTCTGCCCCGCCAGCTCTGCTGGTGGGCTCTGGACGGCTCTTCCTCTCAGTAGAACCTTGCTGGGCTTGAGCCTCCCATCCCCCTTCTAGGCTGGAAATGCTGGTGAGGTGGGTTGGACTAAGGCTACTCTGCTGCCACTGTCCTGTAATAAAATCTGTAAGCACTACGTGGACACGTGCTGGTGTCGTGGGCTGGCCGCAGTCTGTCCCGGCTAGCCAAGAAAGGTAGAGATGAAGACGCTGGTGTCGAGGTTGAGCGTGGCATGCCACCCGCGGCCAGGGAAATACAGCACCTGGGGAGGGGTGGGGAGGAGGGTTAGCTGGGGTCCTTCAGCCTGGCTCAGCTCCCTCTTGCCTCCCACTCACCTCACCAGCCTGGACCGTGCACTCCAGGGGCCGTGCCGACCGGGCCAGGGCCGGGTAGGTGTCCCGCAGCCAGGCCAGGGTGGTCTTGTTGGGATGGAACTCGGGTGTCTTCTCAGGTGGGTAGAGGAACCAGCACTGGGAACAGAAGTATAGAAGTCACCCTTCCACGGTGTGGGCGCTAAGCCCCAGCCCCGCTCTGTACTGACCTTGCGGCCGTAGATCACCTCAGAGAACCCAGGCCCGTGCCAGTGGAAGGGCACCCCGGAGCCAGCTCCTGTGGGCGATTGTGGGGTAACAGACTTAGCTCTGCGCCGGCCTGGCCGACCCCTGGCCTGGAGCCTGCCTGCAATTCCAAAGCTGTATGCAGTAGTTCCGAGCAGACGGGGTGTAGTGCCGAAACAGCGATTCCCACTCGGTGAAGTTGTTTGCCGGCCGAGAACGCAGAGGCGCGGTCCCGGCACCCGGGCTCGCAGGCGCCCGGCCCTCTGCGCGTGAGGCTCACCGGTGCCTAGAGAGGCGGGGTCCTGGGGTGCAGCAGCCGCTCCACGTACTCCTGCAAGGGCAGGTCCACTGCGGGAGGGGCCCGGGGCGGCGGCGGCGGCTCACCTTTCCGGTAGGAGTAGGTGTTGGCGGTTGTCCCCGAAGGCGGCCAGCAGTCTGTCTCGGGAGCACAGGGCCCGGAACCGCTGCCGAGGCGGGCGGGGCTCCGCGGTGGGGCGGGGCCGGGGAGGGGCTCGGCGGCGGGGCGTGGCCAGGGCTCAGCGGGAGGGGGCCAGGGGCGGGGCTCCTGGGCGGGGGAGGGGCTTGGCGGCGGGGCGGGGCCGGGGAGGGGCTCAGTGACGGGGCGTGGCCAGGGCTCAGCGGGAGGGGCCAGGGGCGGGGCTCCGCGGCAGGGGCGGGGCCGGGGCTCCTGGGCGGGAGAGGGGCTCAGTGACGGGGCGTGGCCAGGGCTCAGCGGGAGGGGGCCAGGGGCGGGGCTCCGCGGGAGCGGCAGGGGCGTGGCCAGGGGCGGGGCGGGGCCCTCACCGAGTCGTCCGCGGCCCCTGCAGGATGACCGGCAGGAGGAAGGCGTAGCTGCGGGGAGAGGGCAGGGTTGGTTGCTCGGGCGGCCGGGCGGCGGCGGCGGGCACATACCGCTGCACGAACTCGGCGAGGGCGAGGCCGGCCCGCCGCTCCACGGTGCAGCGCTGCTCCTGCGCCTCCTCCCGCTCCGCGGCGGCGGCCCCCGGGCCCCGCGGTCAGCGCCCGCCCCGCGCCCCCGCCGCCGCCGCCCGCGCCGCTCACCAGCCCCCGGCGCCGCCAGCGCGAGCAGCCCGCGGAGCGCCCGGCACGCCATGAGCCCGCCGCGCCGGCCCGGCCGCGATTGGCCGGCGGCCCCGTCGTCCTGGCAACGCCGGGCGTCCCCGTGATTGGCCGCCCCGGCCCCGCCCTCGCCCTCGAAGGGAGCACTTCCGGAAGGCAGAGCCCGGCCCCCCGGAGCCGCCCGCCGCCCGCCCTGAGCCCAGCCCGACCCCAGCCGGCCAGGCACGCTTGGTTCGCTCTCTTTTATTGGGTTCACGGGCGTAGGAGCGGTGGCCCCACGCGGGCGGGTCAGGAGTACTCGCAGAGGTGGCCACAGCCCGCAGGGCAGTGGGAGCTGCCCTCCAGCCACTTCATGATGTGCTGCAGATGTCCTCCGTGACTGCAGCCCTGACACCACACGAACAGGCCCTTCACCACGTGGTGGCAGACGGCACACATGCTGGCGGAGCGGTGGCACCTGCGGGCGGGGGGGTGGCTCAGCCGGGGTCTCCCGGGGGACCCCCGGCCCCGGCCTCTCACCCCTGCGGTCCCACCTGTCGCAGACCCAGCCCCGGCTGCTCATAGGCCGCTTGCAGTGGCTGCAGTTGACGTGCAGGGTGGTGGAGGCCTGGTTGAGGCAGCTGACTGCCCGGCTGGTGCTCAGCTTCACCACCTGGTTGGACACGTTCCAGAGACAGAAGCGCTGCAGCAGGTCGATGTAGGATGTATACCAGTGCTCCTAGGGATAGGGAGGAGAAGTCCAGGAGGTTAGGGCTGCCGGGCTCAGGGGGAGGAGCCAGGCTCAAGCAGGCAGGCGTGGGTCGGGGCCTGCTCTCCCACCCGTGCGTACCTGAGTCTGCTCATCGATGTCCTTCCGCACCCTCTCGCCCAGCACGATGAGGACAGACACAGCCATCTGCACGTCACCCTGCTCCGCATAGAAGCGCAGCATGTCGCACACCAGCACGCTGAAGAAGTCTGCTGGCAGACGGCTGTCGTAGAGCGTGTGTGAGATGGAGAGGAGGGAGAAGGAGGAGTCTGCGGGAGCCAGGGAGGCCACATCCGCCTCACTGCCACTCACATGTGGCGAGTCAGCCTTTTCCTGCAGGTGCTCAGGCCCCGACGGCGTGTCCACAATCTCGTGGCGCAGTGGGAAGGCCTCCTGTGGTAGCACGTACTCTGGCTCTTCAGCTGAGGGTGAGGGCCCAGCAGAGGCAGACCTGAGTAAAGGGCACCCACCACCCGTTCCCAATGCATGCGGAGCCTCAGCCTCAACCGCTGGGCCGCTCGGGGCTCCACTTACGGTGCACGTGTTCTGGGTCCAGGGGATACAGCTCTTCCTCCTCTCCCTCCACATCGCCCAGCAGGTAGTCGGCAGGTACGTCGCTCCCCTCAGTCTCCTCGTTATCTGTCCACGGGGAGGGAGGGCACTTGAGCATGGCTCACACTAGACCTACTCCTGTCAGAGTCCCCGCCCACCCTCCGCCTCACCTTCATTGGTGATGAGGGTGGCCGAGGAGTCCAGCAGAACCGTGTCACTGCGTGTGTCCCCTTTGCTTCGGTCCAGCCGTGTCTCACTGCCCAGCCCTGAGGCCATATCCTTCAGGCTGAAACTGAGGGCGGGAAAGGCTCATTGGCGGATGGCCTCCAGCAGTCCACCTCCGGGGCGTGCCGACCCAAGGCGTCTACCTGTTCATGAGTGGCAAGCCACAGGAGCTGCCTTTGCCCACACTGTGGTTGAGGTTGGCAGAGGGCACCGGACCAGGACTACAGTAGATGATCCGTAGCATGGTCCACGTCTGCGCCACCTGGGGGCAGGCACCCCGTCAGAGTCACGTAGCAACTTTCAGTACCTCTGGGGACCCAATGTCCTAACCCCACCCCCTGGGTAAACTGCCGCCTGTGAGAGAGACCAAAGTTCCCGCTTCCATCCAGGAAGAGTGCAGAGAAAACTACACTGGGAGGCAGCTGATGGCAGAGAGACGCAGAAGGCAAGTTCAAAGCCAAGAGTGAGGCAGGAGGACAGCCCACGCCCCAGGCCCCTCCTCTGAGGATGGCCCCGGGGCGTGGCCCTCCCTTGCCCTGCATGATCTTCACAGCTTGTCACTGGGGCAAAGGGCTGGTAGTTTTTTCTTTTTTCTTTTGTCGGTCATGGGGTTTGAACTCTGTTCATGGGGCTTGGGCGCTGTCCCTCAGCATTTCAGCTCAAGGCAAGTGCTCTATGTGTTTTGGGTTTTTTTGGTCTGGTTATGGGGCCTGAACTCTGGGCCTGGGCGCTGTCCCTCAGCTCTTCAGCTCAAGGCGAGCGCTCTACCACTTGAGCCACAGCGCCACTTCCGGCTTTTTTCTTGCTTATGTGGGGCTGAGGAATCAAACCCAGGGCCTCATGCATATAAGGCAAGCGCTCTACCACTGAGCCACCTTCCCAGCCCAGGGCTGGTGGTTTTGCTGACCAGAATCAAAGCAGCCAGCCCCTACCCCAGGGTCACGACTCCTGGTCATCCCCTCACCTCTGGTCCCACATACCTGGTTGCGGCCAAGCTCCCGAGCCACCTTTGCATTGTGGTCACAGAGCTCAGCCAGCGGCCGGCCGGCAAGAGCATAACGCTCGGCTGTGTCCACAAACCAGCTCATGCTGCCACCACCAGGCTCCGTCTCGAAGACGCTGAGGGCGCTGGAGGCAAGGCCTGAAAAGGGCTCGGCGGAGTCCAGCTTGCGCTTGAAGAAGATGGTGTGGCGCCGGTCACCAGCACAGGGCTTGCGTCCCGATTCGGCAGCCACCAGGCTCTCCTTGGCAGCAAAGGCCAGGTCCCCAAAGAGGCCATAGCAGAGGCCCTCGGGGTTAGCGCGCTCAACAGGCTGGCTGGCATCACGGAACAGGTGTTGGCACAGTGTGCTGTCCTTGGAGCCAGAGAGCAGAAAGGAAGGGTCATGCGGGTGGCGCCAGACAATGCCCGTGGTGACGTCTCGGTGCTCCTCAAACATAGCAGCCGGCACGAAGGGCCGGCGCACGTCCCACACGTAGATGTTGTGGTCCACCATCATGGAGCACGTAGCAAGGTGGTGCCGGCACTCCGGCCTCCACTTGACACGGGCCACCGAGGCGATGGTCTGCACGCAGTGCATCTCCTTGGCACGGTGAGTGGTCATGTCCCAGACTTTCACCATTTTGTCACGCCCACCTGTGGCCAGCCAGCCCCTGCAGGAAAGCCCCACCAGCCCTCGGTGACCTTCCCTGAGGAAGAGGAGACCCCAGCCCTTACCTCGGTGACCTCCCTCCCCTGGAGACCCTGCGCTCCCCAGCTTCAGTCTCGCCCACGCTCCCACATCACACCTGTCCTCAGGGTGCCAGTCGCAGCAGAAGACCGGCCCATTGTGGGCCGTGAACATCCTCTCACAGCGGTCAGGACGGCGGATGTCCCAGAGCTGCACATTGCCATTCTCAAAGGTGGAGGCAAAGGTAAAGTAATCGCGGATACTGAACTGCACATCCCGCACGCTCTCGGACTGGCCTGTGGGCAGGGCAGTAACAGAGACAGGTGAGGGGGGCTGGCCCACTGGGGCTGGGGAGCCCTGGGGGTGAGGTGACTACAAGATCACACACCTGCCTGTGGCCAGGGCCCGGGGGGGGGGGGGGGGTCAGAGGGTAGAGGGGGGGTACTCAGGGGTCTGTCTAGGATGAGTGACACCTGGGCGTCAAGTGGGTGGTTTTCCCACACACTTCCAGCTCTCAGCCCTCCCTGTGTGCTGCTCTTACTGCATCAGCCTTGGGCATAGCTGTGATCCAGCTCAGGAGAAACGGGTCGGTCGCTGTAGGAGTAGTGCACCTGGCTGTCTGGCTCAAGCTCCCCTGGCAGCTGAGGCTTGCCAGAGACCTCCAGGTAGCTAGGACACAGCAGCCCAGCCCTGGGCTAGAGCTGCCTGGCCAGCCCCTACAGACTGCAGGGCTCCAAGACCAGGCCCACCTTAAAGAACCACAACAGCTACGGAGCAGTGTCCAGACTTTTCCTGACACAGGCGGGCGGGCCTCACGTCCTGAAGCTCTCCATGGCCCCAGGGCTGGGCTTCGTGTTTCACGGAGCCTCACCAAGGTGGCTCGGGACTGTCCACTAGGAAGCTGGGCCTTCTAGGAAAGGGGCCCCCGCGGGAGGTAGACAACGTATCCTACCCCTTTTGAAGTCCCTGGACCGAGACCCGGGGAGGGGCAAGTGGTGGGCTTTTTCCTCCAGTGAAGTGGCACCACTCGGCTGGGCTGAGACTGAGGAGGCCACCCGGTCTCAGCAGCTGCCTCTCTGCCATCAGGGCCTGCGTCCACCCTCTGGGGCCCTCTGGTGCCACGGCCCCCCCGTGGGCCTCACCGGAGAACGTGCTGACGGAATCCTTCCTGCGGAGGTCGAAGCATTTCATAAAGCCGTCCTGGGAGCCACTGAGCAGCACGTGGGCCTCGGTGGGGTGGAAGCAGACCTTGTTCACCGTGCGCTTGTGTTCCGTGAACAGCTGGTCCTGCTTGTTTCGAGATGGCCGGCCCAGGTTCCAGGTGACCACCACGCCGTTGGTGGCCGCCGTGGCCAGCAGGTTCTCGTCCATCTGGTGCCAGACCACGTCGGCGCAGCTCAGGTTCAGCGAGGGCTTGCGGCCCACGCGAAGGTTCAGCTTCTCCACGAACTGCTCCTCCTCGATGGCGTAGATCTTGAAGATGCTGCGGCCCGCCACCGCCACCTGGGCCGCGTCGCGGCAGACGCTGACGGCGTTGGCCGGCGCGTCCAGGTGGCAGTGCATGGTGCGGCCGGTCAGGGCGCCGCTGCCCAGGGCCGCGCCCACCCGCGGCATCTTCTCCATGGCCCCGGCGCGGCGGCGGCGCGGGGTCAGGGCCGCGGGGCCCCTGCGCTCGCGCCCGCCGCCGGGCCGGCCCCGCCGGCCTCCCGGACCTCACAGCCGCCGCGGGCCTGCCCCGGGGCTCCCGCAGGACGTCCCGGCCCGCCCGGGGCCTGCGGGCGCAAACGCGCTCGAGCGGAGCCGGAGCGGGACCGGCGCGAGCGGCCGGCGGCGCCACGG